ATGTTAAGAGGGCATTCTGAATTGACAAAATTTGTCGAAATCGGTCTAGCCCTTCTTGTGATATAAGTATTCTAGCTAACATCCTCTTCCTTTCTATATATACATTGTATATATTTCGCTATATACATCCGATATATTTACTATCGGCATCTACGTAACGGTCAGAATTGACCTGCTCGTCTATTTGTGATTTCGTCGGGATTAAAAATATTCGCGGCTTAATGGAAAATTTGACTTTGATTTAACACAAATGTTATGGTCTATTTTACCCACTAAATATTACCCGATGACCATGAAAATTGAAAGGCTTCTGCCCAGCCCTAAGCTCTAGCCCCATGCTAACTTCCGCTTCGATTGGTCTATAATTGCGACCTGTAGAGCAGGCGCAAAATTATGAAATTTTTCAGGTTTTGGTCCATTTCAACCCCTAAATATTATGCGATTATCTCCAAAAGCAATAGGGTTCTATTCTGACCCTACCTCCACCTCCATTCTAAATTTCGTGAAGATCGGGCCATAATTGCGACCTGTAGAGTGATTACAAATTAACATGGACAGACGGACAGACGGACAGACGGACGGACGGACATACATAGCTAGATCGACTCAGCTCGGCGAGATAGGAAGATCCATATATACTTTCCTATGTGGGAAACCAATATTTCGAGGTGTTACATAATTTTTGGCCCAATCAAACTTATAATACCCCCAACACATAGTGTTGTAGGGTATAAAAATATTGAAAGTCTCTCTTTACCTTTCTATAAACAGTGAGTAATACTCTGTTCCTTTTTTATTTTTACATCTATTTTCATATTTTTTAAAGAGTTTTCGAGAAGGGAATTTTTAAAAAGCCTTTAATACCTGAAATTTTTGAAGAATATTTTCTGAAGAGCCTTCGGAACGTGAGTTTTTTAAGAATGTTTTTTGAAGAGACTACAAGACGTGGGTTTTCAAAGAATATTTTTGAAGAGCCTACAGGACGTGGGTTTTCAAAGAATATTTTTGAAGAGACTACAAGACGTGGGTTTTCAAAGAATATTTTTGAAGTGACTACTAGACGTGGGTTTTTAAAGAATATTTTTGAAAAGACTACAAGACGTGGGTTTTCAAAGAATATTTTTGAAATATTTTGACGTGGCTTTTGAAGAAACTTCGAAAATGTTTATTCGCAGAAATTCATATTTTGATAAAAAATCGCTGTTATAATTAAATAATTTTGGAAGAGAAAAGAAAACATAAATGACGTAAAAAATATTTAAGGTATTGAGATAACGGTTTAAAGAAAAATTATAAATAAGCGGCCCGCCGAAAAATCATTTTTTATAGATTTATTAAAGATATGTGTGAAACAAAATGATATTTAGAACCTCCCTCATTCACTATCGAAATTAAACTAATTTCTTTTTTTGGTGAGAGCAAAAATATATATGAAGATAAGTTTATGCACTTCAATATTTCTAACGGTGTATTTATAAAAATATCCGGCAGCACCTTCCTCATCGACTGCTCGAATATAACTAAATATTTTCCCAAAACCATTTTGACAGAAAATTCAAAACAAATTATTTATTACAATTGTGTCGGTGAACACACAGACATCCCATGGGATACTCTTTGCCTACCCCTGCTTTAATGTGCCCCGTACACGGTCAAAATGCATCACGATGCATGAAGCAATATTAGAATTTTTTGATTGAGCTTGACGTTCGATTTTGACGTGTTGGCGGTTGAGGGATTGTTATTTTGCATATCCTTTACCATGCATAGCATGGATGGCATATTGAGTTAGTCATTCCGTTTGTAACTCTTCAAAATAATAATTATACCCTACAACAATATGTGTTTGGGGGTATTATAAGTTTGCTTGGGCCACAAATTATGTAACACCTCGAAATATTGGTTTCCCACATGGGAAAGTATATATGGTATATATTATATTCCTATCTTGCCGAGCTGAGTCAATCTATCAATGTCCGTTCGTCCGTTTGTCCGTCTGTCCATGTTAATTGAAATCACTCTACAGGTCGCAATTATGGCCCGATCCTCAAGAAATTGAAAATGGATTGTTTTTGGAGATGATCGCAAAATATTTAGGGTTTGAAATGAACCAAAAACTGAAAAATTTCCTGATTTTGCAGTTGCTCTATAGTTCGCAATTATAGACCAATCGAACTTAGGGCTGGGCAGAAGCCTTCTAATTTTGATGGTCATCGGGTAATATTTAGTGGGTGAAATATACCATAATATTTGTGTTAAATAAAAGTCAAATTTTCCGTTAAACCGCGAATAATTTTAATCCGGCGAAATCACAAGTAGACGAACAGGTCAATTCTAACCGTTACGTAGATGCCGATAGTAAATATTGCGGATATATACAGGGTTGCCCATATTCGACGGACCTTTGGGCTCTTTGGGCCCATTCCAATCGACGAGGCTTGTCCGCAGGCAACATTCTTTGCGTCAATTGAATTTTTTGTACGGGAACAAATGCAAATCAATCCGAATAATCTGTTGTAATGTGGACCGAGCCATGCCCAACTGCTGAGAACGGCGTTTTTGGGATGTTCTTGGGGACCTCTCAACACTGGCTCGTACGGCAGCGATATTCTCGGCCGATCGCCTTGGTCGACTTTTATATGGCTTCTTCGGATTAGAAAGAGCCTTACCAGTCGACAATTTTTCGTATAAACGCTTAATGGTGTTCTTAGAAGGCGCACTTCTCACATTTTTTAATGTTTTAAAAGCACGTTAAGTTTTCACAATTGACTTCTTGTAAATTTCAACTATTTCAGAGCGCTCGCGTGGCGTGTATTGGTTCATGGTAAAAATCTGCTTGGACTGACGCTTCAAACGCGGTATGTCATTAAGCGATGTGACATCTCTGTCAAAAGTTATGGTGTTGCCAGATGGGTCCGTTGAATATGGGCAACCCTGTATATCGAAATATATCAATGTTATCTAGAATGCTTATATCTCAAGAATGGCTAGACCGATTGTGACAAATTTTTCAATTCAGATGCCCTCTTGGCATAAACGAATAAAATCTTAAAAAACCGTATAAAATGATGCCAATAATGATGTTAATATACATTTTGTATTATTTTGTGAATTTTTTTTTTTTTCATATTTTTTATAGCATTCGATTTTTATACCCTCCGCCATACTACGGAGGGTATATAAATTTTGCCATTCCGTTTGTAACTCCTCGAAATACTCATGTCAGACCCAACAAAGTATATATATTCTTGATCAGCGTAAAATTCTCGTAGCCATGTCCGTCTGTCTGTCTTGAGATAGAAGGCCAACATTTTGCACACATGTATATTTTGCCAGTAGGCAGGTTAAGTTCGTAAATGGGCCATGTAGGTCCTAAATGTCATATAGCCCCCATATAGCGGTACCTCCCGATATTTGGTATTTTGATAATTTTAGCGACATTTTTCACCGGAATTGTTTTGAATTTGGCATTTGAAGTTCGTAATGGATACTACAGCCTAGACAGAAAATAATCTGTGTAGGTTCACGTCTTCGTATAGCCCCCATATAACGGTACCCCCGATATTCGGTATTTTTATGATTTTAGCGACATTATTGAACGGAATCGTTCCAAATTTAGTATTTGAAGTTCGTAATAGATACTGCAGCATAAAACAGATAATGGGCTATGTAGGTCCACGTCTTCATATAGCCCCCATATACCATACCCCCCGATATTCGGTATTTTGATGATTTTAACAACATTATTTACCAGAATCGGTACAAAATTTGGTATTTGAAGTTCGTAGTAGATACTACAGCATAAAACAGAAAATGATCATGTAGGTCCACGTCTTCGTATAGCCCACATATATCGTACCCCCTATATTTGGTATTTTGATGATTTTAGCTATATTATAAACAGGCATTCGGTATTTTTAAGATTTTAACAGAATTTTTAACGATTTTTTTTTTTTTTTTTTTTTGAAATTGCCAAATTTGTACCAAATGGTGGAGGGTATTAAAAGTTCGGTCCGGCCGAACTTACAGCTTTTTACTTGCTTCAATTTGACAGGTTGGGGTTATTATTTACAGATTGCAATTATCGTCCGATTCTCACAAAAAATTTCAAAAGGGTAGGGTGAGGCTCAGAAGGGCTGGGACTATTGTTTTCAAAGATGTCCGCAATATATTTAGGGGTTGAAATGGACCAACAACTAAAAATTTTCCTAATTTTGTAGCCGTTATATAGGTCACCAATTGAAACCAAAGGGCACAAAATCTCGTATGAAGTTAGAGCTTAGAACAGCGAGTAGAATGGATCACTACTTTTGAGTGAAAAAATACCAACATTTCCATTCTACCAAAAAACTGAAAATAACTTACAGAGGAAATCCAAATTACACAAAAGGCGAACTTCTGGCTTTTTTATGCTGATTTCGCTGACGAATATAGCCAAATATCGTAGACAAGCAAGTCATACAGATGAGTCTAAATTTGGAAATAAAAAGAGGTCTCTTGCTTTTGGAGATGATGGCAAAATATTAAGGGGTTCAAATAAGTCAAAAACAGACAAATATCCTGATCACACAGTTGAAGTCAACCGACACTCCTGAGAAGAAATCTAGCATTTGGGTTGACCATTGGATTATATTTAGCTGTAAAATGGACCAAAACAACTAACAGCTCGATGGAGTGCGTAAATATTAGGCAAATGCTACGGGTAAATCTTCCAAAATGGACTTGGACACAAGGGGTCTTTAACATATTGTAATGTTGTAGGGTATCACATGGTCGACCCCGCACATTTATAGCCTTTGCTTACTTGTTTTTTTTTTAATTATTTTAAAAATATTTGTCAAGGATTTTCAGAATTATAATATTGGATATTGTTTAACTTGTTTTGTAGAACAACATCGCTGACCTTAACAATTGACAATTTTTTGTGGAATATGTCCAAGAGAAACATTTGATATATCCCTCCCTTCGTAAAATTTGTCACAATTAAACCATGTATACGATTTATAATTTATTCAACTAAAGTATTTTATTATTATTTGTGTTATAAACAATAATTTCTTACACACACATATGCGTGTTTCGTAAAAATGTAGGTACATATGTATCTGTGTTCATTACAACTGAACTTTTATATTTTATGTACTTAAATAACAAATTAAACAGAAGTATTAAAAATCACAAACTGTAAAAGCAGCGATAAAGAAACTAAAACTAAGTATTTTCATTAAAAATCATAAAAAACATATATATTTGCATTGCGTCCTTTTTGTTCAGTTTTCTCGACAAAAAAATGACTTTACTGGTTCTATAAGTACTTGTTGTCACATCTTACATCTATTGATCCTTTTTGCCCTGCAAATTATTCTCATAAGCCTTTTGGGCAACTTGGAATAAATTCTCAAATGTCGCCTGGCCCGTCTGCTTTACCATTCCCAAGAAAATGCCCACCTTGGATTCATTCAGCAATTCATAGGGTGAACCAAATTCCACCGCACGACCAGCATCCATGACCAAAACCTTATCTGAATCCATGACGGTATGCAGACGATGGGCTATCGTGAGAACGGTACAATTTTGGAACTTGTGACGTATGGTGGTTTGAATGAGGGCATCCGTCTGGGGATCTACATTGGCGGTGGCTTCATCCATGACGAGGATACGATTTTCTCGTAGAATGGCACGGGCCAGGCAGACCAACTGGCGCTGGCCCACACTGAAATTGGTGCCACCCTCCGAGATTTTGGCATGTAGGCCATTGGGCATGTCGGCCACAACTTGTTTGAGTTTCACCTTAAATACCAAATAAATAAATTTATTACAATTCGATTTAAATGAAATAAAAAATACCTCTTCTAAGGCCTCCCACAGTTTGGCATCGGAATACTCATCGAATGGATCCAAATTGTAACGCATTGTACCCGAAAAAAGCACTGGTTCCTGGGGAATAATGGAAATTTTCGATCTCAAATCATGCAGACCCATATCCTGGGTATCCCTCTTATCAATGACAATGGAACCATCGTTGAAAGACAAACGGAAGAGAGCATTAATCAAAGACGACTTGCCAGCACCTGTTCGGCCCACAATTCCCACTTTATCGCATGGTTGTATATTGAAATTCAATGATTTTAATACATATTCCGATTTCGGATCGGGAGCATAACGTAAACTCAAATTGTCGAAGGTAATTTTACCCTCCTCAGGCCATGATTTGGGTGGTTTCTTATTAGGTTCGGATTCAAGTTCTCCCTCTGGTTTAATGCTCTCATATTCCACAACACGTTCCACCGATGTCATGGTGTTTTCCATCTCGGCCGACTGACGCATACCCCATTGTACCATGCCGGTTAAACCCATTGCTTGCGTAATGGCCAAACCAACATCACCTCCATTCTCTGGGGAGAAGAGCAGGAAGCTCAGTGTAATGATGGCGAGATAGAGGACACAACAACAATCCAGCCAATAGCCAAAGGCACGACTTGTCGTCAAAAACATGTAGTAGCCGGAACTGTGCATGTCTTGATAGTTGTCGAATTCATGTATGAGTATATCCTGGGCTTCAAAGGCTCGTATTGTTGCAAGACCATTCAATGATGCTCCCAAGTGGGTGTAAATTGGGGATCGGGCTGAAAATATAAATTATAGGTGATTATATACATAATAAATAATTTTTGTGTCAAATATAAAATCTCTTTCTGCGTTAGAAAAATACTTGTAAGAAATCTTCAATATATCCATTCATATCAGCACGTTTCGATGGCTGATAGTCCTTGAAAAATTATTTTTTTATAAATCCACGTTTCGATGGCTGATAGTCCTTGAAAAATTATTTTTTTATAAATCCACGTTTCGATGGCTGATAGTCCTTGAAAAATTATTTTTTTATAAATCCACGTTTCGATGGCTGATAGTCCTTGAAAAATTATTTTTTTATAAATCCACGTTTCGATGGCTGATAGTCCTTGAAAAATTATTTTTTTTATAAATCCACGTTTCGATGGCTGATAGTCCTTGAAAAAAAAAATATTTTTTATAAATCCACGTTTCGATGGCTGATAGTCCTTGAAAAAAAAAAAAATTATAAATCCACGTTTCGAAGGCTAATAGTCCTTGAAAAAAAAAATATTTTTTATAAATCCACGCTTCGATGGCTAATAGTCCTTGAAAAAAATTTTTTTTTTTGGTATAAATCCACGTTTCGATGGCTGATAGTCCTCGAAAAAATAGTTTTAATAAATTTACGTTTCGATGGCTAATAGTCCTTGGAAAAATATTTACTTTTATAAATCCGCGTTTCGATGGCTCATAGCCCTTGAAAAAATAATTTATAAAAACACGTTTCGATGGCTTATAGTCCTTAAAAAAATATTTGTTATAAATACACATTTTGATGGCTGAAAGTCCTTGAAAAAATATTTTTTTTATAAATCCACATTTCAATGGCTGATAGTTCTTGAAAAAATATTTTTTTCATAAATCCACGTTTCGATGTCTGATAGTCCTTGAAAAATTATTTTTTTTATAAATCCACGCTTCGATGGCTGATAGTCCTTGAAAATTTATTTTTTTTATGAATCCATGTTTTAGTGGCTGATAGTCCTTGAAAAAATATTTTTTTTATAAATCCATGTTTCAATGGCTGATAGTCCTTAAAAATTATTTTTTTATAAATACACGTTTCGTTGGCTGATAGTCCTTGAAAAATTATTTTTTGAAATCCATGGCTGATAGTCCTTAAAAATTATTTTTTTATAAATCCACGTTTCGATGGCTGATAGTCCTTAAATTTTTTTTTATTTTTTAAACCCACGTTTCGATGGCTGATAGTCCTCAAAAAATATTTTTTTTATAAATCCACGTTTCGATGGCTGATAGTCCTTGAAAAAATATTTTTTTTTTATAAATCCACGTTTCGATGGATGATAGTCCTTGAAAAAATATTTTTTTTTATAAAACCACGTTTCGATGGCTGATAGTCTTAAAAAAATATTTATTTTTTAAACTCACGTTTTGATGGCTGATAATCCTTAAAATTTTTTTTTCCGAAATCCGCGCTTAGATGTTTGATAGTCCTTAAAAAAATATTCTCCTAAATCCGCGTTTAGACTGCTGATAGCCCTTGAAAAAATATTTTTGAAAAATCAAAATTGTTGATAGTCCTTAAAACATGTTTACTAAAAATCCTCGTTTAGATTATTGCTAGTCCTTGAAAAGTATTTCTTTAATATCCCCAGTTTTTTTTTTTTTTTTTTTTTTTTGATAAATGGTAGTCCTCAAATAAATATATATTTATTTTTTTAAATCCCATGTCGACAGTTGGTTTATGAAGAACATTTTAAAATTCTCATACTTACTTATGGCCTCCAGACGTTTAACATCACGTGATGTCTTCAAGTAGAACGAACGCAAAAAGTAGAAAATGACGAACATTATTACTGTGGCCAAAATATACCAAGGATTAACGATAGCCAGGACTATGACAATACCCAATAAGGCCAAGAAGATTTGTATAACATCCATCATGACTTGTGGCAATATTTCATCCACCTGACCCATATCCTTGGAGAAACGATTGAGAATACGGCCCGAGGGGTTTGTATTAAAGAAATACATACTGGTGCGCGTTACACTAACAAACATATCGTTGTGGAGTCGTGTCGAAGATTTCGAGGCCAAATTGAAGAACATAAAACTACGCAGCATGGCCACAATGACGATGGCCACATTAATGGCGGAGAAAATGTAAATATCCACGGGATCGGTTTGGATTTCAGCACGGGCCTCTACTTCGTGAGCCTTATTTTCATTTTTGTTGACCCTAAAGAAATGCGAACAATTAAAACAACCATAAAATATTTAAACATTCTTTCCGCTTACCAATATGACAGGAAATAATCACCACCCGAACCAAATGCCTGGGCGCCAACACACAGTATGACCATTATTGCCAACGTAATATAACTACCACCACTACTAAAATATTTCGCATACAACTTCCAACCAATTTCTCCCTGTTCTCTAGATTCTTCGACTTGTTTGGGCGCCACTTCCTGTACTGACTCCACCGTTGAGGCAACAGAGGTAACACTAATCTGTCGTTGTCTACTATTTTGACGCTTCATTTTTTGCGCATCACGATCATTATCAATTCTACCATCTGATTTGTCCAATACCTCATTTTGCTGCTCCTCATCATCACCATTGCTCAGCAACAATTGGGCATAATCGAAACCACTTTGACGCATCGATTCATAGGTGCCCACAGCTCTCACCTGACCCTTATCCAAGATGACTATGACATCAGCTTGTTCCAAAAATTGCAGCTGATGTGTAACGAGAACAACGGTGCGATCGCGTAAATATTGTCGCATGCATTGATCGAAAAGATGGCGCCCAACGTGAGTATCCACTGCAGAGAGTGGATCGTCTAATAGGTAAATATCGGCCTGACGATAAACAGCTCGTGCCAAATTTATACGAGCCTTCTGACCACCCGACAATGAGGCACCACGTTCTCCCACAATGGTCTTGTCTCCATAGGGGAGCAGCTCAAAATCTCTTTCTAGGGCACATTTCTTCACCGTCAAGTTGTAACGTTTCTTGTCCATCGGTTGACCGAAGAGTATATTTTGGCGTACTGTGCCGGTGAAGAGCCAAGGTTCCTGTGAGGCATAGGAAACAGTTCCATTTACTGTGATGGAACCTGATGAGGGCTGTAGTTCTCCGAGTATGGTCTGTATTAAGCTGAAAAAATAGAAGAAGGTAACAATGTTAATGGAAAGTTGAAAATCAAAATTTAAGAGAGAATAAAAGCAGAACTTATTTTTGATGGACCTCAGTGTAATACAAAATTGTTAACACATTTTAGCATTGCAATATTTTTCCGCAATTGGGATATGGTCTGGTCGGCCAATGCGATTTGATATTCGAAGGGAGTCAATTCACAATAATTGAAAAACTAACAACTTTATTGTCAAATTTGTCAAAAGTAGTCTTCATGGCCGACCTGATGTAAGCCTTGATTTGGACCAACAAAATGTTGAATAATGAATTATTTTTTTCGGTAACACCCTTCAAAAGAGCTTCAGTTTTGAAGTTGTTTAACCTTGATATCAAAGTTTAATAGCAAGTAATTTTAGATTATTCTTCAAACTTACGTTGATTTTCCTGCTCCCACTGGTCCAATAACGGCTATCAATTGTTTTGGTTTAAATTCCAACGTTACATTATCTAAATTATATTCCGCTGACTCTGGGTTCCATTTGGCAGTTAAATTTTGTATGACAATACCAGGTTCCTTGACAACATTCGTTTTTATTATCTCCACACTCTTGTCATTTTCACTGACAATAGCCGGGATCATTTTACTCTTCACTATGGGATTTTCCGACATTTTCACCTCATCCAAAAGCATAAATTTCTGTATACGACGGAATGACACCAGAGTCTCGGCAACCTGAGCCACAGCCATGGGGAAATAAACGGTCATGGTGATACGCAGCAAACCATAGAAAGCTGTGACCACAAACGCTTTTTCGGCGGTCAGGAAATGTCCCAACAAGACATATCCCACTAAACTGCTGAAAATGGAAATTCTCGATATGAACATGATGAAGGAACCCATGATGCCTCGTATGTAGTTCACATAACGTATCGCCTTCATTTCTTTGCGTCGAGCATAATCGACCATTTTTCCGAATGGAATTTCCCAAGCATACATTTTTATCACTTGAATGCCGGAAATGATTTCGTTCATCAGGCGTACACGTTCATCGGTGCAGAGAGCAGTGCGCAGTCGCAAAACGGAGGTCTTCTTACCCATATAGCCTTGTATGGGTACGAAGAGTAACATCACAGCAACACCTATCAGGGAACTGGCACCGATCTGAAAGACAACGGGGTTTTATTAATGGAAGTATTTTTAACATCTTAAAAGAATAATAAAATAAATCAATGCCCTGACTAGAAGCTAGAATCTTGAAAAGTTGGTACGTAGCCATTTGATAAGATTGGGTTTTTGGAAATTCGTAAAAATGGCACGGAAAGCCTCTACAAATGGAGTCAGAAATGTGTACTGCAATTATTCGAAAAGTACTAAGTTGTACAAAATTTGTTATTGGAAACCCGATATTTAATATTGAGGTCTTTCTCTTTGTATCTGGGATTGAGATACGGAAATGGTTTTGAAAATGTGCGTAATAATTGTACCAAAAGTACTAAATAGTACCAAATTTGGTATTGGACTGGAATCCTGAAATTTGACGTGAATGTCACTGGAAATTTTAATATCGTACGAAAAGTACAAAAAAGTATTATATTTGGTACAATTTGACATTGGGTGAACCGATTCTGATCGAAATCTGAAATAAAGTATAAGGGACGCTGTTCATGTGTAGCTTGGACATATATAGGAGATCATGGGAATTTGTACTATAATTGTTCGAAAAGTACTAATTCGTACATTGGGTGGCATTGGGTGCCTCCGCCCAACAGGACTAGAATCCTCAATATGATTATTGAGATCTCTGTTGATATTTGAAACGCGATATGGAGGTGGTTTTAGAAATGTGTATTATAATTGTACGAAAAGTACTTAATGGTACTAAATTTCGAACAAAGAGGTATATCGTGAATGAATGAAGCTGATATTTTTAAGTATGGTCCTTGCTGGTTGTAGGATAGTAGAAAGTAGGTTGTTTTGCAAATGTGTATTATAATTGTACGAAAGTACGAAAATAATTAAATAGTACAATATTTTGTACAATTTTGTTTAGGGTGAAAACATATGATATTTGACATTAGGGTCGCTGTTCGTGTATTTTAAATTGGTGCTGGTGGAGGGCCAAAGCCAAACGCCATAATTTTTACATATTTTTTTTTTTTTGAATGAAAACAAAAAACGTCGGAAATTGCATCAAATTTTAGAATATTTTTACATTGGTTTGAATTGGTCACCTTTGCCCGAATTATGGCCTTCAAACGGCAAATGAAACCGTCACCCGAATGCGGTAATATGGCCCATTCCCGGCGAAGCACTTGCTTGAAGTGATCGACACTTTGGTATTATTTAGTGACAACTTTGCTTTTCGAAATACTCCAGACACAATAGTCCAACGGATTGGTATCTGGAGATTTTGGTGGCCATTGTGCTCTGGAAATGAAGCGAGGAACCTTATTTTGCAACCGTTCTTGGGTGGCGCGTGCTGAGTGCGGTGGTGCTGAGTCTTGTTGGAATCTCCAAGGTCTGCGGCCAAAATATTTGCGTTCCCAAGGCTTTAATACACCCTCCAAAATATTTTCGCGATAACATTCGGCGCTTATTCTAATGCCAAGGTCGATTAATACATTAATTAATTCTTTCATTAATTCTGATGTCACGTTCGAATCATACGAGCGGGAAGGGACCATCGACTGTTATGGCGGCCCACACCATCACCATGGACGGCGCTTAAGTTCTGGTGGCCAACCGAAGGTGCACATTTTCACCTGACCTTTTTGGCAAGTAAACACGATAATTTTGTTTGTTTGCAAAGTGCTGGACAACGAATGTTTTCTCATCGGAGAACCCCAAATTCGGCAGTTCACCACTTTCGGCCAAGCGAAGAAACTCTTTACCCCTTTTGAGTGTATTTTCTTTCTGTTGCGGTGTAAGTTCCTGCACTTTTTGGAATTTCAATGGCTTTACCCCGGGCTCATTTTTTGCAATATTTGCGAATGGAATATTGCGATACGTTCAGATCACGAGCGATTTTTCGTGATTGGTCTGAGACACAAAAGATTGATTCACATTTAAATGCTGGAGTGCTCTAACGATAGCCACTTGTGGTTTTCCAGCTAAATATAAAGAAATCGCACTATCACGCTTGAATTCTATCACGAAGAACTTTTCTTCTGGAAAATTCTAACTAAAATGCTTTTGTACGATTGTAAACAATATAATGAGCTGTCGCTGGAATAATTTTAAGATGTGTCGGGCGAGTGGCTTAGAAATGACAGCAGTCTGAATTTGGTTGCAGTTTTTTCATCTCACCTTAAGGTGCTTTTGCAAATGTTAACTACAAGTGCGCAAAAAGTACTAAAGAGTGCTATATTTGGTGCAATTTAATATTGAGCGAACCGTGAGTGTTTGAAGCCTGAAATTTATTATATGTATTAGCCTATACATATAGAGGAGGTTTCGAAAATGTTACTAAAAATTGTTCGAAAAGTACTAACTGGTACTAAATTTGGTATTTGGTGAAGGGATATTCCTGGAATCCTCAATTTTGTTAATGTGTTGAGGTATTTGTTCGTATCTGGGATTTAGATACGGTGGTGGTTTTGGAAATTTGTACTAAAATTATACAAAAATTACTAAATTTGTAATTGATTGAAAGATGGGACTGAAATCCTGAAGTTTGATAATGAAATATGATGCTAAGGTCACTGTTGGGGACTGACATTGAGATATGGAAATTGTTTGGTCTAGTCACAATGTTAATCTGAATCTCTTGTAAATTAGCAGTTTGTGTTCTCAGTGGGAAACATCCATGCATTGAACTGTCTATATAGGTTCAAGATTTGGTATAGTCTTCATTAGCTGCATCGACAGATTTAAAGTTTTTTGGGTACTTTAGTAACAATTTGAATCCGAATTTGCTGTAATTTAGGAATATGTGTTCCCAAAATGTAGGAAACATCTTTGTAGAGAACTGTACCTGTAGGTCCAAGTTTTGGTACCCCCAATAATTCGGTATTTTTATGATTTATGCCACAGATTTCACCGCAATTGTTTCAAAATTTTCTCCTTCCACACAACCCTTTCCCACAACTTTGTACTTACCTCTTGATAAATAAAATAGGTAACCAAAAAAATTTCCAACGGTCCGATCCAAATGAAATGCATATGCAACACCGAGGTATCCAGACGGCCCACGTCATTTGATATCAAATTTACCATTTGGCCCGATGTCGTATTGACCATGGCACTTTTACTCAAACGCAAGGCCTTGCGATAAATCATACTGCAAATAGCCACACGAACTTTCATGCCCGTGTGGACAATACCCAACATGTTGGGATGCATAAGAAAAACACTGCCGGCACTGGTCAAAATAACCCCCAAAGCATATAGAAAGGCTGTTGTTTGATCGGTTTTATCTGTTTCAGGATCGGCATAGTATGAAACCAAGGCACCCAAAAATAATGGTTGGGAACATCTGCAAAAACATTATTAGATTTCATTTCATTATTACATCAATTTGTCGGGCTTACCTCAAAAACACCTCAAACAGAAACATCAAGATCCCCAGCATCATATAATGCAGACCGAAAACTCTTATTGTGGCCCTGATCAAACTTGGTTCTTTGCCCTTGCGACGACTCTTCGCCAGTTCTTCTTCCCAGGCATGACTCAGCTTGTGACCCATGAGATCTGTAAATTGCAACGTAAACAGATTGGAGATAAGCATTCTTGGCTGATAAACAAACACGTTTATAGATCTTAAATAAATATTGTTAACCTTTTTCCCTACAACCCATTGTTTGTTGGTGTGGCAATCGCTATGATGGCTTTCTATGATTTATATTTAATTCATAAATGGATTTCCCAGCTGTGAGTTTTTATATGAAGAATACCATAAAAGATAATAGACCAGATAATACAAGAAGATCTTCTTTATTACTCTAGGACGAGTTGTGAGAGACAGTATCTGTTTATAATTAATATTTTTGAAATATTACATGTAAAAATGCAGTAAGTTCGGCCGGGCCGAACATTGAAATTTGGACATTTTTAATAAAATATTAAATCTGTTAAAAATTCTGTTAAAACTTTTGACAGAGGCCATAACAATATTCAAACACGAAACTTGAAAAAAGTTGGTGAATAAAGTAGATAAAATTTTCAAAAAAAAAAAAAAAAACGAATATTGCGAGGTACCGGTATATGGGGGCTATACGAAGACCTGAACCTGCATGATGAATTTTCTTCAAAATTAAATTACTTCAAATACGAAATTTAAATTGAATTACGGTGAATAATGTCGCTAAAATCACTAAAATACGAAATATGGGGAGGTACGGTAATATAGGGGCTATACGAAGACCTGGATCTAAAAAGACAGTTTTTTTGTCACAGGCTGTAGTTACCATTAGGTAAATGCGAATTTTGAAATAATTCCGGTGAATAATGTTCCTATTGGGGAGACAGTTGAATGCGGGCTATATGGAATCATGGACCCATATAAACAATTATCTTTTAGAGGGTATAGTACTTACAAAGCACTTCTTGTGTGGATTTTCAAACAATTCCACAGAAAAATGTAGCTTAGATCATAAAAAATCGAATATATGGAGGTGTCGTTATATGGGGGTTATACGATATTATGGGCCTATACATACAATACTCCTTCAAGGGGATAAAATACTCTGAAGGAACTCCTTGCGTGTATTTTTCGACAATTCTATTGACAACATTTGGCTAAAATCATACAATGATATCGTACACAGATATAGCCCTTCTTCGAACTTGACCAACCTGCAGACAAACTACTGATCTTTACTAAATTTTAGCTTCCTATCTTAATTCGTCTTGACTCTAGCGTAATTACAACAGACAGACAGACGGACAAATTTCGTATTTGGAATTCGTAATGGGTACAGCCTATGACAAAAAATTGTGTGTGTGTATTCAGGCCCTTATTTTATTTAATGAAACAAAAGTGTCGGAAATAGCTTCAAATTTTAGAATAAGTTTAGATTTGTTCGAATTGGTCATCTTTTACACAAATTGTGGCCTTGAAACGGCCAATGAAGACGTCACACGCATCCCAAATGTTGATCTGCGGTATTTTGGCCCATTCCCGGCGAAGCGCTTGTTTGAGGTGATCGACACTTTGGTATTTTTTAGTGCCAACCTTGCTTTCCAAAATACTCCAGACACAATAGTCCAACGGATTGGTATCCGGAGATTTTGGTGGCCATTGTGCGCTGGAAATGAAGCGGTGAACCTCATTTTGTAACCATTCTTGGGTGGCGCGTGCTGAGAGAGATGGTGTGGACTCCTATTTCTGCGACCAAAATGTTCGCGTGCCCAAGGCTTTATTACAAACTTCAGAATATTTTTTGGCGATTATATTCGGCATTTTTGCTGATGCCACGGTCGATAAATACGAGCGGCGAGCGATCATCGGCTGTTATGGTGGCCCATACTATCACCATGGCCGGCGCTTGAGTTCTAGTGGCCAACCGAAGGTGCACATTTTCACCTGACCTCTTTGGCAAGAAAACGCGATAATTTTGTTTGTTTACAAACTGCTGGACAACAAATTTTTTCTTATCGGAGAAAATTTTTTCTTATCGGCAGTTCACCACTTTAGGCCAAGCGAAGCAACTCTTTAGCTCTTTTGAGTCTATTTTCTTTCTGTTGCGGTGTAAGTTCTTGCACTTTTTTCAATTTTAATGGCTTTACCCTGAGCTCATTTTTCAATATTTGCCGAATGGAATATTGCAATATGTTCAGCTCACGAGCCATTTTTCGGCCACTGCAACCCGAAATTCTCACCAAAATGCTTTTGTACGCTTATAAACAATATTATGTGCTGTCACTGAAGTAATTTTAACAGCTGTGGGACGAGTGGCTTAGAAATGACAGCAGTCTGAAGTTGGTTGCAGTTTTTTTCATCTCACCCTGTATAGACAATTCTCTTTCAGGGGGTTAAGTACTTAGATAGAACTTTTTGTGTGGATTTTCAGACAATTCCATTCTCAAATTTGGCTTTAATCATGAAAAAACCGAATACCGGGGTTAGCGTTATATGGGGCAATATGTTAATCTAGCCCATTGCGAACTTGACCCACCTGTGGACAAAAGACTGATCTGTGCTTTAGCTTCCTATCTTAATTCGTTTTGACTCAAGCGTAATTACAACCGACGGGCAAATTTCGTATTTAAAATTCGAAATGTGCACTACAGCATTGACAAAAAAATTGCGTATGTAGGCCCACGTTTTCGTGTAGCCTCCATAAAACGGTAACTCCCAATATTCGGTATTTTGATGATTTTAGAGACATTATTCACCGAAGCGGTTTCAAATTTCGTATAAGGAGTTCGTAATGGGAACTGTAGTCTATGACAGGAAATTGTGTGTACAGGTCCAGGTCTTTGTATGGGCCCCATATATTAATACCTCCCCATATTCGGTATTTTGCCGATTTCAGGTTAATATTCACCGAAATTGTTTGAAATGTTGTATTTGAAGTTCCTAATATGTATAGCCCAGATGTAACGGTACCACCCTATATTTGGTATTTTGATAATTTGGCTGCATTTTTCAGCGGATTTTTTACCAGTTTCGTATTTGAATATTGTAATGACTAATAACAAAGTTTGCCTATGCAGGTCCACGTCTTCGTATAGACCCCAATATAACAACTATGTTCGGTATTTTTTACAATTTAATAAATTTTTAACGGATTTTTTTTATAATTTCCAAATTTCATATTTTATCAATTATTCACTTCATTATCCATTTCATCAACCAGATTGAGTACCATGGGCTAAACATTGGTTTCGATGCTAATATATTATTTATTTATTTATTTTTTTTTTTTGTAGAAATTAAACAGCCTTTTTTCTTTTGTATGGAATTCCCTCTTTGATTTTGACACTTGAAAGATATTAACAACAAGAAATAATGCCCGGCATAAAAATCAAATTATCTTATCTGCACCGTCTCAAGTTCAATTGGAGTGTTTATTTCGTGAATTGAATTAAGATAATGACATCTAACTTCCCATAAATTTGATTTTGATAAATTTGATTGGATGACAAATTATGTGTAAATTTTGCTATGCATTATAAATATTTAGAACCGCTAGAAAAATTTCCTAACTTAAAAAATGCTGAAGTCACAATGAATATAAAAAATGCTGACGTCATATTTAGTAAGAGAAGAAAAAATAATATCATAATTACGTTAAATTGCTTAAATTATTCAAACTTACCGGATTTGTGCTCCTTAAGCGCCCGAAAAAGATCTGATTCATCTAAAACTCTTTTGCGTCCCTTGAAAAATGTCGGCATTGTAAAACTGAAAAATAAAAGAATAAACATTTCTTTATTAGACACTTTGCCGCCAAAAATTAATATTAGATAATTAGAAAAAAAATTGTTGGGTAAAAAGTTTGTGGAACCATAAAACATCATTTGTTAGGTACTATAGATTCTTGTTCTTTAAAATTTTAAAAATTGTACTTAAGAAGAATTTCCTATAGAAATTCTTACATAGTTCACTATTAAAGCTCTGATTACCTTAAAATATATTAAACCTGGCTTATAATGCACATCATAATTTTAATTCTTTTTTAGATGTAATGAATATTTTGTGGAATTTTAAAATAATAAAAAACAAATTTGAAAATTTCACTACATAATCCTTCAATGTCATATATGTCAATTATATTATGTAAAATAATTAAAAGCTTAAGCCTTCCCAAATTAAAAAAAAGAACAAATTAAGCAAATGCTATAGTCACGCGGGGCCGACCATGTGATACCCTACAACACTACAATTTTTTTTTGGCTTTTTTTTGGCAGGAACATTTGCCCAATATTTACGCACTCAGACGTGTTGATAGTTGTTGTGATCCATTTTACAGCTAAATATAATCCAATGGTCATCCAAAATGCTAGACTTCTTCCCTGTCCTTAACTCTCTTCTCAGGCTAGTAAATTGCCATAAAATTTGTGATCAGGGATTTTTTCTGTTTTTGGTTCATTTGAACCCTAAAATATTTTACGATCATTTCCAAAAGCAAGATGCTCCTTTGTATCTCCAGATTTAGATTCATCTATATGATTTGCTTGTCTACGATATTTGGCCAGAAGTTCACCTTTTCTATATGTCGGTTATTGCCTGTAAGTAATGTTGGTATTTTTTCACACAAAAGTAGTGGTCCATTTTACCCGCTGTCCTAAACTCTAACTTCATACTAGATTTCGTGTCCTTTGGTTTCTGTTTGTGACCTTAATTAAGGCTGCAAAATCAGAAACATTTTTAGTTGGTGGTCCGTTTCAACCCCTAAATATGATGTGGACATCTTTGAAAACAATAGGCCTAGCCCTTCTAAGCCTAACCCTACCCTTGTGAAAATTTTCGTAAGGGTCGAACGATAATTGCATTCTGCATATATCGTAACCCCAACCTGTGTTATAAGTGAAAAAATATTACAAAATATACACATCAACATTTTAAGTAAAATTTAAAAAAATCGCATGCGAAAAATTATGAAAAAATAAAAAATGTCACAACTTACTACAAAAGCTATATTAAAATTTTATTGACATCTTTTTATGCGATTTTTTAGATTTTATACTTTTATGCCAAGAGGACATTCTTAATTGACCAAATTTGTCAAAATCGGTCAAGACGTTATTGATATATAAGCATTCTAGCTAATATCCCCTCCCTTTGTATATATATATATATTGTATGTGTATTTCGCTATATATATCCGAGATATTTACTATCGGCATTTACGTAACGGTCAGATTTGACCTGTTCGTCTATTTGTGATTTCGCCGTGATTAAAAATATTCGCGGTTAATGGAAAATTTGACTTTTATTTAACACAATTGTTTTTGGTCTATTTCACTCACTAAATATTACCCGATGATCATCCAAATTGGAGAGCTTCCGCCCACGCCTAAGCTCTAGCCCCGTGCTAATTTCTGATTCGATTGGTCAATAATTCCGACCTGTAGAGCAACTAAAAAATCAAAAAATTTTTCAGTTTTTTGTCCATTTCAACCCCTAAATATTAATTGGCTCTGGCCCCAACTCCATTCTAAATTTTGTGCAATCGGAACATAATTGGGAGCTGCAGAGTGATTATAAATTAACATGGACAGACGGACGGACATAGCTAGAACGACTCAGCTCGGCAAAATAGGAAGTTCCATATATACTTTCGTATGTGGGAAAGTAATATCTCGAGGTGTTACATATTTTTAGGCCAAATAAAATTTATAATACCCCCAACACATAGTGTTGTAGGGTATAACAAGTTAAAAAGCAGTAAGTTCGGCCGGGCCAAACTTTGAATACCCTCCATCATTTGGAACGAATTTGGAAATTAAAAAAAAAAATCCTTAAAACATTCGGTTAAAATTTTAAAAATACCAAATATAGCCGTTATATTTGGGTCTATACGACGTCGACCTACATAGGCATTGTTTGCTATTAAGCATTACCATATTCAAATTTGAAACTTGAAGTAAACGGTGAATAATGTAGCTAAAATCATCAAAATATCGTATATAGGGAGGTAGCATTATATCGGAGCTGTGCGAAAACCTGGACCAGCATAGACAATTTTCTGTTACAGGCTATAGCATCCATTACTAACGTCAAATACGATATCTCAAACAATTTCGGTGGGTATTGTACCTAAACTCGTCAAAAAACCGAATATAGGGAGGTACTGATATATGGGGCCTGCATAGACATTTTTCTGTCACAGACTGTAGTTCCCATTACGAACTCTAAATACGTAATTTGCAACAATTCCGGTGAATAATGGCGCTAAAATCATCAAAAATCGAATATCGGGAGGTACCGTTATATGGGGCCTATATGAAGACCTGGACCTGCATAGACATTTTTCTGTCACAAACATTTTTCTGTCACATTACGAACTCTAAATACGTAATTTGCAACAATTCCGGTGAATAATGGCGCTAAAATCATCAAAATACCGAATTTTGGGAGGTACCGTTATATGGGGGCTATACGAAGACCTGGACCTGCACAGACAATTTTCTGTCATAGGCTGTAGTATCCATTACGAATCTCAAATAGCAAATTTGAAACAATTCCGGTGAATAATGTCGCTTGTATCATCAAAATACCGAATATAGGGGGTACCGTTATATGAGGGCTGTACGAATACGTGGACCTGGCCAGATAATTTTCTGTCACAGGCTGTAGTATCCATTTCGAACTTCACATACCAAAGTTGAAACAATTCCGGTGAATAATGTCGCTAAAATCATCAAAATACCGAATATCAGGAGGTACGTTATATGGGGGCTATACCAAAACGTGGACCTACATGGTCTATTTTCAATACCAAAAGTCCTGCAGGCATAATATACATTTGAGTAACATTTTATCAAATTACTTCTTTTCGTTTGGAAGCTAGAGTGATTTCCGCAGACGGACAGATGGATAGACGGACGGACATCGCTAAATCGATTTAGAATTTTACGCTGATCAAGAATATATATACTTTGTTGGGTCTGACATGAGTATTTCGAGGAGTTACAAACGGAATGACGAAGCTAATATACCCTCCATAGTATGGTGGAGGGTATAATAAAATGTTTAATATTCTCTAGAAAATTTTTTAAAAATCCATGTTTTAATTCCTTGAGAAATTTTAATTTCGATTGAGATGAAATTTTCCAAATAACAGTTGTTTGGCTCAAGGACGAAACCTATTGAAATTGGTGAAAATCGGTCTAAATTTAGATATAGCTCCCATATATATCTTCATCCGATTTTAGGTTTCTTGTGCACTAAATGCCTAATATCAGACCAAATGGTGTGCATTTTGCTGCATCCGACCGAATTCAGCCTACAAGCATACGTCCCTCACATTCGTAGTGTACACCCCACAAACATGATATTTGGTACCAGATATTAGATTCAGCCAACAATACATGATTCAGATTTTATCAAGATCGAATCAGATTTGTATATAGCTTCCCTATATATATTGGTCCGATTTTAGGTTTGTTGTGCACCAAATGGCTAATATTAGTCCAAATAGATTTTCGCACTTCAACCGATTTTAGCTTAGGAGCAAGAATTTCAAATTTGCTCTCATATATATGATTCATCAGATTTGGTGTTTCTATCTCCAACATTCGGAATATGCACTCTACCATAATCATATTTTGTACCAGATATCTCATAGAACTCAGAAATGCCCAATATAAACCTTTATTTTACGAGAGCTGTACTAAATATGCATAGTGGTGTAGGGTATCATATAGTCGGCCCGCCCGACTTTTGAGCTTTCCTTATTGGTTTTCTATGAAAAGATGTTAAAAATCGTAATTTTGGTCCTTTAATATAAAATAATTTAACATTAATTAATTAATATGTTCATTTTTCAAAATATATTGAATAGAATTTCCTTTAACACTTAGTGAAACTAAATTTACTATTATAATCCCCTGAAACATATAAAACCCCCAAAAATGTTAATTCAAAATTTCATTGATAAATGTTTCTTTAGCAATTTTCTTAAAAAAATATTCCATTCCCCATTAAAACTTAAGAATATTGTTTATTTGGTTCTGACATGAAGGAGATCAACACACAATACCACACACAATGGCACAATTCCAAATTTTCATTCACTTATACAGTTAATACATAGACCTCAATTACATTTGCTTTATAAAACGAACCAAAAGTCATATTTTGCAGAATATATTGGAAAAAATTGGATTTCATTCATCACATCTTTAATTTAATTGGATCTATATAATTGCTTATCGATTATCAACAATAACATCGAATTTCACCACAAAATTTCCCAAGAGCGATAAGAAATCACCGTCAACTCACCAAAACATCATTGCCGACAAGGGATTCGAGGATTCGCGCGGATTCTCCGGCAATTCGTCGGATTTAAAGGATTGCATTTTTATAATTTGGTCTCTTCTTTGGATTCCTTTTTCAATTCGAAATATTTTATATTGATTTTCACTTCAAGCGTAGAACTATTTATTCGATTATTTTCTCGTCTTTCGATTTACTATTTTCGATTCGAAATAATTATCTAATACGCTGTTTACTTTAATCTTAATATTTTTATTATATTCTATATTGAATTTGCACTTGGCTTTCAATTATTTTGATCGTTTTTGATTTTCCACTTTGCTCTCACAACTACCAGTTGGAGTCGATTTTTCACAATTCTGGCAAATTTCCACTTTTCACTTGCATATACATATATATTTGTGTTTCTCTTCCAATTTCACAGTCCGAACCAAATCACTTCCCCACGCCAACTGAATTAAGGTTTTGCGGAAAAAATACAAAACCACCTCGGACCATAAAATACACTCCCAGTTATTTCAGATAATAGGTCGCCTTTCCGACTTTTTTTTGGCAAGATAACAGAACCTCAAGGCGTGCAATAATTTGTTTTAGCCATGCTGCTGCTATTGATTTTATGGAAATGATTAAACTGTTTACAATCACAGTGCCATGGATCGCAATATTCGCACATATATATATTTATAACCATCTGATATGACGTAGCATTGTTGGATTCTAGAGCTGTGAAATGATTAGGCAAAAAAATGTGCGATTCGAATTGAGTAGATGGTGTTGGTGATTGATGTTGTTGCCAATTAGAAGAGCATAAATGTTCAAAAATTATTAAATATATTTGAAAAGACCAGTTCACGTGTTGTCTGTTATCGTTTAGGGGAGACTGACAGAGAGAGAGAGAGAGACTATTGTTAAATAATATTTTTAGTAAATAAACAATTTTTTTTATTCACGTGCGTAGACTGATAGCATGGAAGATCTCTTCGAATATGGAAAATCTCTTCGAGTATGGAAGATCTCTTCGAACATGTATGAAGCACACTTGCAGCAAAGAACAATTCACAAGTGTTTAGTTTTATATTGTTTGAGAGCGAACATGTTTGTAGTCGACGAGGGTCTGTGAGCTTTCATCTACAGTCGCATAAGTTATGACAAACAAGTAAAAAAGCTGCAAGTTCAACCGGGCCGAACTTTGAATACCATTTGAATTCCACCATTTGGAACGAATTTGGCAATTCTCAAAAACAATCAAATCCGTTAAAAATTTTAAAATCTTAAAAATACCGATTGTAACTATTATATTAGGGTACATATGACGACATGAACCTGCGTAGGTAACATTTGTCATAAGCCATTACAATATTCAAATGCGAAATAATACGAAGACGTGGACCTGCACAGACAATTTTCTGTCTTAGGCTATAGTATCCATTACGAACTTCAAATACCAAATTCATAGAATCATCAAAATATCGAATATAGGGAAGTACCGTTATATGGGAGCTATACGAAGACGTGGACTGCAGAGGCAATTTTCTGTCTTAGGCTGTAGTATCCATTTCGAACTTCAAATACCTAATTTGAAACAATTCCGGTTAATAATATCACTAAAATCGTTAAAATACCGAATATCGGGAGGTACCGTTATATGGGGCCTATATGAAAAGGAGGACTCACATGGCCCATTTGCGAACTTAACCTGTTTACTGGAAAACTAAACATGTGTGCAAAATACAATTACAACAGACCGACGGACAGACGGACATCGCTAAACCGACTTAGATCAAGAATATATATACTTTGTTGGGTCTGACATGAGTATTTCGAGGAGTTACAAACGGAATGACAAAGTTAATATACCCTCCATAGTATGGTGGAGGGTGTAAAAATGGACAGTGTCGCTCACACAATCATGTACTCACCCCCCACAAGGGGATTAAATTTTGAATACATACAACTCTAATGGAATGATAAATTACTATCCGATTCTCTTCAAATTTTTCACATCCCAACATTTTTACTAACACAAGATAAGGTGAAAATTGTACCTCTGGTACCTGGGACCTCCCCCACAACGGATCGCAAAATATGCGAAATAAGTATTTGATTCTCATTAAATTTCACAGATGCTCAAATATTTGATAACACAAGATCTGTTGCGAAGATGAAATATGTCGAACCACTCTTTATGGTACTTCACCCACAATGGGTCAACATTTTATATAATTGCCATATGCCAGTATATTTTCTGGTGTGAAAATGATAAATATCGGCGAACCCCTATTGGTAATATTAGATGAAGTGAAATACCTTGGTCTAATATATTCGGTACCTCGCGATTAATTCAACTTTTTCCCAAAATTATCACGTATCTCATATGAAGTGGAGGTCGATATGTAGACCAAATCGGACACGTTGTGATATATTTTATATCAGAGTTAGTTCAAATGAGAAGTGTGTGATATTCCTTCGGCATCTCCTCCATTAAGGGGTCAACATTTTGATTAATACAGCGTAAGTCAAGGCTTATCTTATAAAGGAACATAGGCAAGACCGTCTGATACTTTTCAACTTGTTTTTAGTAGGCAGGTTAAGTTCGTAAATATGCCATTTAGGTCGAAGTTTTCAAATAGCCCCTACAGGGTTGCCCATATTCGACGGACCCATGTCTCTTTGGGCCCATTCCAATCGACGAGGCTTGTCCGCAGGCAACATTCTTTGCGTCAATTGAATTTTGTACGGGAACAAATGCAAATCAATGCGAATAATCTGTTGTAAAGTGGACCGAGCCATGCTTAACTGCTGAGAACGGCGTTTTCGGGATGTTCTTGAGGACCTCTCAACACTGGCTCGTACGGCAGCGATATTCTCGGCCGATCGTCTTGGTCGACTTTTATATTGCCGCTTCGGATTAGAAAGAGCCTTACCAGTCGACAATTTTTCGTATAAACGCTTAATGGTGTTCTTAGAAGGCGCACTTCTCACATTTAACGTTGAGTTTTCACAATTGACTTCTTGTAAATTTCAACTATTTCAGAGCGCTCGCGTGGCGTGTATTGGTTCATGGTAAAAATCTGCTTGGACTGACGCTTCAAACGCGGTATGTCATTAAGCGATGTGACATCTCTGTCAAAAGTTATGGCGTTGCCAGATGGGTCCGTCGAATATGGGCATCCATGTATATAACGGTACCTCCCGATATTCGATTTTTTGATGATTTAGGCGACATTATTCACCGGAATTGTTTCTAATTTGATTCTTGAAGTTCAAAATGAATACTACACCCTGAGACAGAAAAGTGTTTGTTCAGGTCCACGTCTTCCTATAGCCCCCCCCTGTGACAGAAAATTGTCTATGCAGGTCCAGGTCTTCGGACAGCTCCGATATAACGGTATCTCCCTATATACGATATTTTGATATTAGCTACAATATTCACCGTTTATTTCAAGTGTCGAATTTGAATATGGTAATGGCTTATGAGAAACAATGTCTATGTAGGCCCACGTCGTATAAACCCCAATATAACGTCTATATTTGGTATTTTTAAAATTTAAACAGAATATTTTAGGGATTTTATTTATTGAAAATTTCCAAATTTGTTCCAAATGGTGGAGGGTATTCAAAGTTCGTCATTCCGTTTGTAACTCATCGAAATAATCATTTTAGACCCAACAAAGTATATATATTCTTGATCAGCGTAAAATTCTAAGACGATTTAGCCCTGTCCGTCCGTCTGTCCGTCTGTTGTAATCACGCTACAGTCTAAACGAATTAAGATAGTAAGCTAAAATTTTACACAGATATCTCTTTTGTCTGCAGACAGGTAAAGTTCGAAGATGGCCTATATCGGTCCACGATATCGTATAGCCCCCATATAACGGTATCTCCGATATTCGGTTATTTGATGATTTAAGCCACATTTTTCAATGGAATTGTCTGAAATTTCACAAAAGGAGTCCCTTGTGGACATTTTATCCCCTCAAAGAGAATTGTCTATATAGGTCCACGATATCGTATGTCCCCCATATAACTGTACCCCCGATATTCGGTATTTTGATGATGTTAGCCACATTTTTTAATGGAATTGTCTTAAAATCCGCTCAAGTAGTTCCTTGTGAGTACTTTACCCCCTGAGAGAGAATTGTCTATACAGGTCCACGATATCGTATATCCCCCATATAACGGTACCCCACGATATACGGTATTTTGATGATTTTACTCACATTTTTCATCGGAATTGTCTGAAAATCCACACAAGGAGTTCCTTGTGGGTACTTTATACCTCGGCAGAGAATTACCTATATAGGTCCTATCGTATAGCGCCCATATAACGGTACCCCGATATTCGGTATTTTGATGTTTTTAGCCATAGTTTTCAACGGAATGGTCACAAGGGTTTCTTTGTCAGCACTTTACCCCCCGACAGATAATTCTCTATATAGGTTAATGATAACGTATAGCTCCCATATGACGATACCCCGCGATATTCGGTATTTTCATGGTTTTAGCCACATTTACCAATCGTATTGTCTGAAAATCCACACACGGAGTTCTTTGTGAGCACTTTACCCCTGAAACGGAATTTTCTATATAGGTCCACAATATGGTATATCCCCCATATAACGGTACTGCCCTATATTCCGTATTTTGATGATTTTAGCCACTTTTTGCAATGGAATTATCTGAAAATCCACACAAGGAGTTCCTTGTAAGTACTTTACACGCAGGCATAGATTTGTTTTTATAGGTCCACAATATCGTATATCCCCCCATATCGGCACCTTCCTATATTAGATATTTTAAAGATTTTAAAAGAATTTTTAATGGATTTTATTTTTGTTTAAAATTTCCAAATTCGTTCCAAATGGTGGAGGGTATTTAAAGTTCGGCCCGGCCGAACTTCCTGCTTTTTAACATGTTTAAATTAATTTTTTTTATTAATCTACAATTGTGTTCTTTGTCCTATTTGAAATGTCATTTACAATAGCTTTAATTGCAATTCAAATATGAGTGTGTGTGTGCGTGAGTGACAAATCAATGCAACTCCTTCAAGTATCTCAAATATTTTTGCGCAAATATTTTGCGACTTTAAAATCGCTTGGGGGCAAAACAACTTATAATTCCCCAGTCATTAAAGTCGCCATAATAAAACCATATAAATTTTATAATTTATTTAAATAACTTATTTTTATTATTTTTCATGTTATTTACAGAGACGAAAATTATTGTTGTTAATATATTCGTTGTGTGTGTGTGTGTGAGTTTGGGGCGGAGGGGAATACTTAAACATATATTTACATATCTAGGTTCATTATAACTGAACTTATAAAATACATTTGTTGCTACTTAAGCTAAAAATTAAAACAAATTAACAACTGGCAAGAGTGGGATGGGGCAGGGGGATGAAAAGTATTCTACATACATTTCTCTATTCATCCTTTACTTTTCTTCTTTGTCTGTCCCCAAAATACAATTCCATTTGCCAGGCTGGCCGGTAGTTAGTTACATGAGTCCTTAATATCACATCCTACATCTACTGATCCTTCTAGCCTTGCATGTTTTTCTCATATGCCTTTTGGGCAACTTGGAATAAATTCTCGAATGTCGCTTGGCCAGTCTGCTTGACCATACCATGGAAAATGCCAACCTTAGATTGGGTGAGTAACTCGTAGGGTGAACCAAATTCCACAGCTCGGCCGGCATCCATGACCAACACCTTATCCGAATCCATGACGGTATGCAGACGATGGGCTATCGTGAGAACGGTACAATTTTGGAATTTATGACGTATTGTGGTTTGAATGAGAGCATCCGTCTGGGGATCTACATTGGCAGTGGCTTCATCCATGACAAGAATACGATTTTCACGTAGAATGGCTCGAGCCAGGCAGACCAATTGACGCTGACCCACACTGAAATTGGTGCCACCTTCCGAGATTTTGGCATGCAAGCCATTGGGCATGTCGGCCACAACTTGTTTGAGTTTGACCTAAAATATAAAATAATTCAAATGATAAGAATAGTAATTAAAATAAATTATGCAAAACTTACCTCCTCCAAAGCCTCCCACAGTTTGGCATCGGAATACTCATCGAATGGATCCAAATTGTAACGCATGCTACCCGAAAACAGCACAGGTTCCTGGGGTATAATGGAAATTTTCGATCTCAAATCATGCAAACCCATATCATCAGTATCCCTCTTATCAATCACAATCGAACCATCATTAAAGGACAAACGGAAGAGAGCATTGATCAACGACGACTTGCCAGCTCCTGTCCTACCCACAATACCAACTTTCTCACATGATTGTATAACGAAATTCAACGATTTCAAAACATAATCGGACTTGGGATCGGGGGCATAACGCAAACTCAAATTGTCAAAGACAACTGTACCCTTCTCAGGCCATGTCTTGGGTGGCTTCTTGTTGGGTTCCGATTCAAGTTCACCCTCCGGTTCAATGCTCTCATATTCCACAACACGTTCCACCGATGTCATGGTGTTCTCTAATTCAGCCGATTGCCGCATACCATACTGGACCATACCAGTAAGACCCATTGCTTGGGTAATGGCCAAGCCAACATCACCTCCATTCTCTGGGGAGAAGAGCAGGAAACTGAGCGTAATAATGGCGATGTAAATGACACAGAAACAATCCAGCCAATAACCAAAGGCACGACTTGTTGACAGGAACATATAGAAGCCGGAGCTGTGCAGATCTTGATAGTTGTCGAACTCCTGAATGAGAATTTCTTGAGCTTCAAAGGCACGTATGGTTGAGAGACCGTTCAAAGATGCTCCCAGGTGGGTGTAAATCGGCGAACGAGCTGGAGGAGAAGAATAAAAATTATAAACGCGGTCTTCTATATATAATAGAAGAGTATTGAAGACCTCCAGGTCATTTATATAAAACTAAAGACCTGAGGATCCATGTCCATGTCTTTTATAGACATTACAAGACCTACAAGTCGTCTATAGACACTAGAATAGTCTTCTATAGACAATGAAGGACTTTCCAGCTTCTAAAAACAATGTAAGATTTACAAGACTTCTCTGATAGAAGACCTACAAGCCCTGTATAGGCAATGGAAGACCTTTAGGTCATCCAAAGCCAATGGAAGACCAACAGATCCTCCATAGCCAATAAAGGAGCTCCAGGTCTTCTATAGACTATAGAAGACCTCCACGTATTCTATAACCAATAGAGAACGTGAATGTCTTCTATAGCGAACAGAGGACCTCAAGGTCTCCTAAAGCCAATGAAGGATGTTAATGCCAATAGAAGACCAACAGATCCCCCATAGCCAATAAAAGACCTCCAGGTCTTCTATAGGCAATAGAAAACCTCTAGGTATTCTATAACCAATAGAGGACCTGAATGTCTTCTATAGCGAACAGAGGACTTCAAGGTCTTTTAAAGCCAATGAAGGATTTTAATATCTTCTATAGCCAATAGAGGACCTCAAGGTCTCCTATAGCAAATAAAAAACCTTAAGGTCTTCTATAGCGAACAGAGGACCTCAAGGTCTTCTATAGCGAATAGAGGATATCAAGGTCTTCTGTAGCCCATAGAGGAACTCAATATCTTCTAAAGCTAAAAGAGGGCCTCAAGGCCTCCTATAGCCATTAGAGGACCTGAATGTCTTCTATAGCGAACAGAGGACCTCAAGGTCTTTTAAAGCCAATGAAGGATTTTAATATCTTCTATAGCCAAGTGAGGACTTTAAGGTCTCCTATAGCCAATAGAGGACCTCAAGGTATCCTATAGCAAATAAAAGACCTTAAGGTCTTCTATAGCGAATAGAGGACCTCAAGGTCTTCTATAGCGAATAGAGGACCTCAAGGTCTTCTATAGCGAATAGAGGACCTCAAGGTCTTCTATAGCGAATAGAGGACTTCAAAGTCTTTTGTAGCCAATATAAGACCTCAAGCTTTTCTATAGCCAATTGAGGATCTCAAGCTTTTCTACAGTCAATAGAGGATCTCAAGCTTTGCTATAGCCAATAGAGGATATCAAGGTCTTCTGTAGCCCATAGAGGACCTCAATGTCTTCTAAAGCTAATAGAGGACCTCAAGGTCCTCTGTGGAGAAGAGCAGACTTCCAAGTCTTCTCTAGACATTATAACCCCTCCATGTTTTCTATAGACAATAGAAGGCCTCCAGGTCTTCTGTAGACATTCATAGACGATAAAAGACTTCCAGGTCTTCTATAGACAATATAAGAACTCCACGCCATTTGTATATAATAGAAGACTTTCGGGTCCCTAAGGACCTAATAGCCTCCCTATAGCCATATTTCAATTTTAATTCATACTATACTTACTTATAGCCTCCAATCGCTTAACATCCCTGGACGTCTTCAAATAGAAAGATCTCATAAAGTAAAATATGATAACCATTACCACAGTGGCCACAATATAGTACGGGTTCACAAGACACAGCACAATGACAATACCCAATAGGGATAAGAAGATCTGTATCACATCAATCATAACTTGGGGCAATATTTCATCGACACTACCCATATCCTTGGAGAAACGATTCAGGATACGACCCGAAGGATTTGTATTGAAGAAATACATGCTGGCTCGGGTGACACTGACAAACATATTGTTGTGAAGACGCGTCGAGGATTTCGAGGCCAAATTGAAGAACATAATGCTACGCATCAGGGCGAATATGATAATGGCCACATTGATGGCGGTGAAAATGTAAATGTCCACTGGATCTGTTTGCATTTCGACACGTGTATCGATTTCGTGAAGTTTGTTTTCGTTTTTGTTGACCCTAAAATACAATAGAAGTATTAGAATTTAAGGAAAAAATTGGGAAAAGTTCACAACTCACCAATACGACAAGAAATAATCACCACCTGAACCCAGAACCTGAGCTCCCACACAAAAGAAAATCATAAGGCTGAGTATGACAACACTGCCACTGCTGCCAAAATATTTCTTGTACAATTTCAAACCAATCTTGCCTTGCTCTCTTGTTTCCTCCACCTGCTTGGGCGCCATATCCTCCACAGACTCCACCGTGGAAGCCACGGAGGTAACACTTATTTGCCTCTGCCTTTGTTTACTATTCTGACGCTTCATTTTCTGTGCATCTCGATTATCATCAATTTTACCATCTGTTTCTTCGCCACCCTCTTCTTCGTCCTCATCGCCCTTGTGCAGCAATAGCTTGGCATAATCAAAACCACTTTGACGCATCGATTCATAGGTGCCTACAGCTCGCACTTGACCCTTATCCAAGATGACTATGACATCAGCTTGTTCCAAAAATTGCAGCTGATGGGTGACAAGGATAACAGTGCGATCACGTAAATATTGTCGCATACATTGATCGAAAAGATGGCGCCCAACGTGCGTATCCACTGCAGAGAGGGGATCGTCTAAGAGGTAAATGTCTGCCTGACGATAAACAGCTCGTGCCAAATTTATACGAGCCTTCTGACCACCCGACAATGAGGCACCACGTTCTCCCACAATGGTCTTATCTCCATAGGGCAGGAGCTCAAAATCTCTTTCCAGGGCACATTTCTTCACCGTCAAGTTGTAGCGTTTCTTGTCCATCTGTTGACCAAAGAGTATATTTTGCCGTACTGTGCCGGTGAAGAGCCAAGGTTCCTGTGAGGCATACGATACGGTACCATTGACTGTGACCGAACCCGAGGTGGGTTGTAGCTCACCCAGAATGGTTTGTATTAAACTAGAAAAACAAATGCAGTTTATGAAATTTTAACAAACGTTCAAAAATAAACAACATAGTTATATAGAGACCCGTAAGAACTAGGATTAAAAGCACCCTTAATAAGGAGGGATGAGGAAAGGGACATGTTTTTAATTCGAAACTTTTAATTTACAGCATTTTTGAAAGGGTGGCTTTGGAATCCGTTTTTTTTTTTTTCAATAATTACAGAATAAAACCAGTGGACTATTAAAGATCTCTCCACTGCCCACATATATCCTATCTTCTGATCAGACTTGGGTTTGGTACAAATATTGAGATATGTGAAATTTAGAGACAATCGGACTCTTATTTCATATTTTTATGAGCTCCATGTTTATCAAAAATATTGACCCCTTATGTGGGGATCTACCAGAAGGAGTGGGCTAATAGAAAGAGGGGGTCGATATCTACCTTATATACAACAAGTCTTGTGTTGATAGAAATATTAAGATGTGTTGAGAAAATAATCGGATGCTTTCAATATTTTGACTCCTAGAGGGAGGTGTACCAAAGGAGTGGACTGATATATCACATCTTCGCACCAGATCTTATGTTGGTACAAATATTAAGATGTGTAATATAAAGACAATCGGAATGTTATTTTATATTTTATATGATTTATAATTATTGAAAATGTTGACCCTTTATGGCGGAGGTACTTGATGGAGTACTGATATTGTCCATTTTCGCACATGATCTAGCATTGATGCAAAATTAAGATTTGCAAAGTTTGATCTAAATCAAACAATTCTTCCTCTTTCTGTGAGGTAAATTATTTTTTTTTAAATGTTGACCTTTTATTTGGCGAGGTACCAAAAGAAGTGGATCGATGTTGCCAATCTCCGAACTCGATCTAAGTTTGACAATAATATTATAATATACCAAGTTTGGACCAAATCGGATACTCCCTTCGGGAGTTATCGTGCGCATAAAACTAGACAGACAGATGGACTTAAGGACGAATGGATACCCCTAGATCGACCCCAAATTTCCCGAAACAGATTTGCTCCAAAGAGACCCCGGGTCTAAAACTGTTATTTGGATGAGGCACATTTTGTCCTTATCAAATGATGTTTTCCCTCTGTGGACATATGGCTGGGGTATAAATATAAACTACATCGGAATATTTATGCCAGTTCTACACGATCTCATAACCGCAGTTAAACGATATGCGTCGTTGTTGAGGTCCTAAACACAAGACATTGAATTACCAATAACTTTACTTACGTTGATTTGCCCGCTCCCACCGGTCCAATGACAGCTATCAATTGTTTCTCTTTGAATTCCAACGAGACATTTTCCAAATTATTTTCCGCCGCTTCGGGATTCCATTTGGCCCGAACATTCTTCAGCACAATGCCAGGCTCCTTTGTGGGTACCGTACTAACTTGTACACTTTTACCATTTTCACTGATTATGGCTGGGATGGTTTTACCATCTGCCTTTGGTTCTCCTTTCGACGCCTCCACTTCATCCAAAAGCATAAATTTCTGTATGCGACGGAATGAAACCAAAGTTTCGGCAACTTGAGCCACAGCCATGGGGAAATATGCCGTCATGGTCATTCTTAGGATACCATAATAAGCTGTGACCACAAATGCCTTCTCTGCCGTCAGGAAGTTACCAAGCAAAACGTAGCTTACCAAACTGCTAAATATTGAGATTCTCGAGATGAACATGATAAACGAACCGATCATGCCTCGAATATAGTTGACATAACGTATAGCCTTCATTTCTTTGCGTCGTGCAAAATCGACCATTTTTCCAAATGGTATCTCCCAGGCATACATTTTGATCACCTGAATGCCGGAAATGATTTCGTTCATCAGGCGTACACGTTCGTCGGTGCAGAGGGCAGTGCGCAGACGCAAAACGGAGGTCTTTTTGCCCAAAAATCCCTGTATGGGTACAAAGAGTAACATAACGGCCACACCAATCAAGGAACAGGGGCCAATCTGGAAATTGGAAATATTTTGCTTCATTTCTTCGTAAAAGGAAGAATATCTAGAAACCTACCTCCTTATACATAAAATAGGTAACCACAAATATCTCCAGTGGTCCAATCCACACAAAATGCATATGCAACACCGAGGTATCCAACCGACCCACATCATTCGATATCAAATTGACCATTTGACCCGATGTCGTATTGACCATGGCACTTTTACTCAAACGCAAGGCCTTGCGATAAATCATACTGCAAATGGCCACACGTATCTTCATACCCACATGGACAATACCCAACATGTTGGGATGCATAAAGAGCACACTTCCAGCACTGCTTAAAATCACACCCAAGGCATAGAGCCCTGCCTTTGATTTATCGGTTTTATCTGTTTCCGGATCGGCATAATATGAGACGAGGGCACCCAAAAATAATGGCTGAGAACATCTGTTGAAAGAGAAAAAAATAATTGGCTATTGTTATGGGGAAAATGTGGCCTCGCCCTAGCTTACCTAAAGAATATTTCAAAGCAAAACATCAATATACCCAAGAGCATGTAATGCAGACCAAAAACCCTAATTGTGGCCTTAATCAGACTGGGATCTTTGCCTTTGTGACTGCTTTTCTCAAGTTCATCCTGCCATGCTTGACTCAACTTATTACCCATGAGATCTGGAAGAGGTTTAAAAAAAAGATAATATATTAGATTTTTGCTATACAAACTCCTTATTGTAGCTACCCCGAAGGGGAGATCTCATATAAGTTTCCCCGCACCATTTTTTTAGTAATAACCTAACCTAACCTGTAGGGTATTATGTTTTTGTGCATTTGTTTGTAACATAAAGAAGGAGTGAGTTAGACCCATACTTCCTTTTGATGATATGCAAAGAATCAAAGATTCGATTGATGCATATCCGTCCCTCCGTCTGTCCATGTATTTTTCTGAACAAAGTACAGGTCGCATTAATTATCGGGTTGAGATGAAATTTTCCACAAATCATTGGCTTGGCCCAAGAACCAACGATATTGAAATTGGGGATAGCCGGTCAAAATTTAGATATAGCTCCCATATATATATCTTCGGCTGGTTTGCCTATTATATATTGTCCACTAAGTGTGTATTATTAGCCCAAATTGGATGGAATTTGGCATATCTGAGCATATTGAGCCTAGAAACAAGTGTGTCAAATTTGATGAAAATCGGTTCAGATAGAGCCATATCTCTCGTATATATTCTTCATCCATAGCCGTAATGTGTACTGCGTAACAACAATATTCGGGAAACTATATAGAATGCAGCTCAGAAATACCTCGATATTAGTTCAGATTTGGATATAGCTCCCATATATATACATATATCTTTACTCGATTTCAAGTTTATTCTGCACGACATAAGCCCAAGTTGAATGGATTTTGGAAAATCCAAAAAAAACTTAGCCTGGGCGAAAATCTATCAAATTTTGTGAAAATCGGTTAAGATATAGCTATAGGTCGCATATAGGCCAACTATCAGATACAGCATGGAAATACCTCTGCCAAATTGTGTAGAGATCGATTCAGATTTAGATATATATCTTCATCCAATTTCACTTTTATTGTGCCAAAAAGGGTAATATCACCTCAAAAAGGGTGGAGATTGATGAATATCGGCTGCTTCCTCAAATTCATTAAAAGCTTGCCACATATAACTGCTTTGACGATCACAGTTGTTATTTTTATACCCTCCACCATAGTATGGAGGGTAAATTAGGTGTGTCATTCCGTTTGTAACACCTCGAAATATACATTTTAGAGCCCACAAAGTATATATACTCATCATCAGCATCAAATTCTATGTCGATTTAGTGATGTCCGTCCGTCTAACCGCCTGTCGGTCTGTGGAAATCACTCTAGCTTCCGAACGAAATGAAGTAGGTTGATAAAATGTTATACAAATGTACAATATGTCTGCAGAACTTTTGGTATTAAAAATGGGTCATGCCTTCGTATAGCCCTCATATAACAGCACCTCCCGATATTCGATATTTTGAGGATTTTTGCGACATTATTCGCCGGAAATGTTTCCAATTAGGTATTTGAGGTTCGTAATGGATATTACAGCCTAAGACAAAAATTGTATGTGCAGATCGACGTCTTCGTTTAGACCTCATAAAATTTTACCTGCCGATATTCGGTATTTTGATGATTTTAGCTACATTATACACCGGAATTGTTTCAAATTTGGTATTTGTAGTTCGTAATGGATACTACAGCCTATCCTCATAAATTTCCTATAAATTCCCTATCATAAAGTCGGCCCATCCCGACTTTGGCTTTTCTTTACTGGTTCTTATACCGACAGCCATAAATCTAGAGAGGGTTTATATCATTTGGCCAAACCGTGACTCATCGAAATTACGGTTTTAGACTATAAGTCTCTTTTGATTTAATCCGTTTCAGTCCGTCCGTCCGACTGCCTGTCAGTCTGCTGACTCGATAACTCTCTAAGGGAGTATACGAGTTTATCCAAACTTGATACATCGTTATATTATTATCAAACTTAAATCGAGTTCGGAGATGGTCAATATCAGTACACTCCTTCTAGTACATCCCACACAAAAAAGGCGAAATTAAAAAAAATCCGTCACAGAGAGAGAAAACAGATTCTAATTTTGCTCATTTCCCAATTCTACTATTTGTATGTAGGTCTTGTGAGAAAATGGGCAGTATCGGTATTTTTCATCAAGTAACTTTTACAAAATGTGATATAGAAGACCGAATGTCTTCAAATTACACTCATCGCAATATTTTTATTAATCCAAGGTCCGGTATGAAGATGTAATATATCGGTCTATTCTTCCTGGTATCTCCCCCACAAAGGGTCAACCTTTTAAATAACAATGAGATTCATAAAATGCGAAATTGATTTCCGATTCCATTCAGACTTGGTACATCTAAACATTTTTTTCATTACAAGACCTGTTATAGAAAATGGTAGAGATTTGACCATTCCTTCTTGTACCTACTCCCCCCCCACCCCCCCAAAGGCTCAAACTTTTTAATAACCAAAACGATTATAACATCGGAAATAAGCATCTAGTTCTCTTCATATTGCACACATCCCATTTATTTCTGCCAGTACAAGATCTGCTGTGAAAATGGGATATATCGATTCACTTCTTCTGGTAGCTCCCCCATAAAGGGTCAAATTTTTGAATAACCATGAAGTTCATAAAATGCGATTTTATAATGCGATTCCGTTCAAACATGGCTCATCTCAATATTTCCATCAACACATGATCTGATATAGAGATGGTAGAGATCAGACCATTTGTTCTGGTACCTCCCACACACAGGGCTTAAAATTAAAAAAAACAAACAGCTCAAAGAAAGCGAAATAAGCATCAACTCCCTTCAAATATCACACATAAAACGTTTTTGCTAACACAAGAACTGTTGTGAACATAATATATATCTGCGAACCCCTTCTGGTACCTCAACCACAAGGAGTCACCATTTTCAATACATTTATCTGTCATAACTTGCGAAACAAGTCAGCGTTTATTTACAACATGTTATATTTAATTTTTTCTCTCAGTCAGATACTTGAAATGAATATGGAATTTATGATTTAGCTTAAAATTGGATATAAATGTTCGAGTTTCTTGTAATTTTGCCCTCCATAGAGGGTCAACAATTTATATAAGATGTCAAAATATATTTAAATAATCGAACATAGGCTGAGGGTATACATCTGTCGTAAAAAACGACTCATATTTATACCCTACAACACTATGTGTTGGGGGTATTATAAGTTTGATTGGGCCAAAAATTATGTAACACCTCGAAATATTGATTTCCCACATAGGAAAGTATATATGGATCTTCCTATCCCGCCGAGCTGAGTCGATCTAGCTATGTATGTCCGTCCGTCTGTCCGTCTGTCCATGTTAATTTGTAATCACTCTACAGGTCTCAATTATGGTCCGATCTTCTCGAAACTTAAAATGGAGGTGGGGCTAGGGTCAGAATAGAACCCTATTTCTTTTGGTGATGATCGCATAATATTTAGGGGTTGAAATGGACCAAAAACTGAAAAAATGCCTGATTTTGCACTTGCTCTACAGGTCGCAATTATAAACCAATAGACGCGGAATTTCGCATGTAGCTAGAGTTTAGGGCTGGCAAGAAGCCTGCCCATTTGGGTGGTCATCGGATAGTACTTAGCTCCTAAAATAGACCATATCTTTTTCGTTGAAAAAAATCAACATTTTTCATTAAACCGCGAATATTTTAAATCCCGGCGAAATCACAAAGCCATCACAAGGTTACTTCTGACTTTTACATTGATGTTAATATCCAACGAAACGGATATATAGCAAAATATGTGCGATATATATGTTTATCAAAGAAGATATGCTCGAAAAATCTCTTATATGTCGAGAACGGCTGAACTGATTTCGACAGTTCTCATTAATTCAGAATGGCCTCTTGGCAGGAAGGAAAAAACGTCTAAAAAAATCGCATTAAAATATTTCTCTAATGATGAAAATATTGATTTTGTAAAATTTTCTCATATATTTTCAGTTTTGTCATATTTTTGGCATATTTTCATTTTGAATTAAACATTTGGTAATATTTCTACAACTAACAAAACTAAGTTGTTAGGATATCAGGATGTACAGATCGCATGGTTTTCTTTTATTATTTGTCACAATATCTTGTGGAATTCTTTCAAGTATCTCGCCTATATAAACTGTATCGTTTATTATAGTGTTGTAGGGTATTCAACGGTCGGCCCCGCTCGACTGTAGCCTTTGCTTACTTGTTTTTACTTGTTTTTTTATCAGTCTGTTAAGAGTCCATTTAAATTTTCACAGTTCTTAAAACGATTGTCAATTGCCAGGTAATAAATAAATATTAATGTCATAATGTCGTTGTCTAAATTTAGTTCCCACAACTTTCTTTGTGGCATAAAAGTGTCTCAGCGGTGGAGAGAACAAAAACCAATTAGAAAATAAAATACAAAAACAACAATGCAAACACACTTATTAACACCATCATGAACGCCAGAATTTTGAGTAATAATTAAGATAACGAAACTTGGCCTTCCCATGCTGAATGGCTGATATCAGCGGCGGCGGCAGCAGGTAGCATGTGCTTTACTTTCGGTTACGCTGTTCAACGCTTCAATGACTTGCTATTTATTTTATTAAACTGATTGAAAATAGAAGCAATTCAATTGTTTGTGTTTGTAAATTTTTGTTCTGTCACCGGGAAAATAATATGGCAAACCACAAAAAAATAAATCCGAATACTTATAACGTTCACGTAATATTCATTGAGGGTGATGGGAAGCGTGTTAAAATTGTTGAGTTGTAGTTGTATTTGTTTTTTTTTTTTTTCACTTATCTTAATAACAACGATTCCGTCTGTTATTTTTCACACTTACCAGATTTGTGTTCTTTGAGGGCCCGAAACAAATCCGATTCGTCTAAGACTTTTTTGCGACCTTTGAAAAATGTTGGCATTGTGAAACTGAAATTGGGAAGAGATAAATTTGTTAATCTTTATTTTCAAAATGGAAATTTACCGAAAGATAGTTGTTAAGTAGTTGTGTAAATATATGTGACAATAGTTATTAATACACCAAATAAATTTCGGAGTATTCCACAACGAATATTTTGTGATTCTTAACAAAAAACAAGTAAGCAAAGGCTACAGTCGAGCGGGTCCGACCGTTGAATAAACGATACAGTTTACATAGGCAAGATACTCGAAAGAATTCCACAAGATATTGTGACAAATAATAAAAGAAAACCATCAGGTTTCGTTCTCTAATTTTCGAATAATAACAACTTAAACTAATTTCCAATTTATTGGTAGATGTTGCACTTAAATGGTCTTCCTAGATCTGGAACCAATATTTCCCAAAGTCCTATAATCTCTCAGAAGTGGCAAAAGATTAACATTTATTATTGGTTTTTGACTGAAACGCATCTATATGAGATACAGACATTTGACTATATTCTTCAACGAAATCAGCGTTAACGAAATAATCAGAAGTGCGTCTTTCCTGCATTTGTGAATTCTCCAAAAAGTCGCTGGAATGAACATTTTCGAATTTTGTCTACAAAAGTTGGCAAACTCCTTTACACATTGAATATTTTTGGATGGCCATCCAAAACTGCTTGGCTTTTGCAATGTCCGGTAACCCCCATTCAAATGTGCGTGAGGATCGGGCGAAAATTACGACCTGCTGACAATTTTGCATTTTTTTTGTCCATTTCAACCCCTAAATATATGGCGATGATCTCCAAAAAGAGTAGGCTTCTATTCTGACCCTCATCTTATCCCCATTTCGTAAGGATCGGGCAATAAATGCGATCTGTATATGGTATCCTGATATCCTAACTACTTAGTTTTGTTAGCTGTAGAAATATTACCAAATGTTTAATTCAAAATGAAAATATGCCAAAAATGTGACAAAATTGAAAAAAATATGAGAAAATATTACAAAATCAATATTTTCATCTTTAGAGAGATATTTGTATGCGTTTTTAGACGTTTTTCCTTTCCTGCCAAGAGGCCATTCTGAATTAATGAGAACTGTCGAAATCAGTTCAGCCGTTCTCGACATATATGAGATCTTTCAAGCATATCTTCTTTGATAGACATATATATATCGCATATATTTGCTATATATCCGATTTGTTGGATGTTAACATCAATGTAAAGATCAGAAGTAACCTTGTCATGGCTTTGTGATTTCGCCGGGATTTAAAATATTCGCGGTTTAATGAAAAATTTTGAATTTTTTCAACAAAAAATATATGGCCTATTTTACCCGCTAAATAGTATCCGATGACCACCCAAATTGGTAGGCTTCTTCCCCGCCCTAAACTCTAGCTACATGCGAAATTCCGCGTCGATTGGTCTATTATTTTTTCAGTATTTGGTCCATTTCAACCCCTAAACATTTGGCGATCATCTTCAAAAGAAGTAGGGTTCTATTCTGACCCTATCCCCACCTCCATTCTAAATTTCGTGAAGATTTGGCCATAATTGCGACCTGTAGAGTGATTACAAATTAACATGGACAGACGGACGGACGGACATACATAGCTAGATCGACTCAGCTCGGCGAGATAGGAAGATCCATATATATTTTCCTATGTGGGAAATCAATATTTCGTGGTGTTACATAATTTTTGGCCCAATCAAATTTATAATACCCCCAACACATAGTGTTGTAGGGTATAAAAGTTAGAAAGCTGTAAGTTCGGCCGGGCCGAACTTTGAATACCCTCCACCATTTGGTGCAAATTTGGCAATTTTCAAAAAAAAAAAAATCCATTAAAAATTCTTTTAAAGTCTTAAAAATACCGAATGTAGCCATATATTAGGGTCTGTACGAGGACCTGGACCTGCATAGGCAACTTTTGTCAGAAGCTATTCAAATGCGAAACTTGAAAAAAATCTGTTTATAATGTAGCTAAAATCATCAAAATTCCGAATAGAGGGAGGAACCATGGGAGCTGTAAAACGTGGACTTGCACAGACAATTTTTGTCATAGGCTGTAGTATCCATTACGAACTTCAAATGCGAAATTGTAAACAATTCCGGTAAATAATGTCGCTAAAATTATCATAATACCGAATATCGGGAGGTACCGTTATATTGGGGCTATACGAAAAAAGTGAACCTACATGGCCCTTTTTCAATACCAAAAGTCCTGCAGACATAATATACATTTAAGTAACATTTTATCAACCTACTTCATTTCGTTCGGAAGCTAGAGTGATTTTCACAGACGGGCGGACATTGATAAATCGACATAGAATCTTATGCTGATCAAGAATATATATATTGTGTGGGGTCTAAAATGTATACTTCGAGGTGTTTTGATAGAATGGAAATGTTGATATTTTTCCATTCTTCCTTTATTTCGTGTCCCTTCTATTTCTAACCTTAATAAAGGCTGAAAAATCAGGAACATTTTTAGTTGTTGGTCCATTTCAACCGCTAAATATATTGCGGTCATCTGTTACAACAATTAGCCTAACCCTACCCTCATGAAAATTCTCGTGAGAATCGGACTATAATTGCAATCTGTATATAATAACCCCATCCTGTGTTGTAAAGTGAAAAATATTATAAAATGTACACTTCAATATTATAAGTCAAATTCAAACAATTACATGCGATAAAAACTATGACAAAATACTACAAAATCTATATTAACCTCATTATTGGCATCTTTTTATGCGATTTTAATAGGTTTTATTCTTTTATGCCAAGAAGGCATTCTGAATTGTCAAAATCGGTCCAGCCATTTTTGAGATATAAATATTCTAGCTAACATTCCTTTTCTTGGTATTTACACATTGTATATATTGCACTATATATATCCGATTTATTATCCATGCAACGGTCAGAATTGACCTGTTCGTCTATTTGTGATTTCGCCGGGATTAAAAATATTCGCGGTTTAATGGAAAATTTGACTTTTATTTAACACAAATGTTATGCTCTATTTCACCCACTAAATATTACTCGATGACCATGCGAATTGGAAGGTTTCTGCCCAACCAAAAAATCTAGCCCAATGCTAACTTCCGCGTCGATTGGTCTATAATTGCGACCTGTAGGGCAATAGTTTTTGGTCCATTTCAACCCCAAAATATGATGCGATCATCTCCGAAAGCAATAGGCTTCTATTTTGCTAAATTTCGAAAATTTGATATAGATATCACTATTGGGTTCGGTGATTCAGATATGCAGGTGGATTCGAAAAATACTAAATTGAACTAAATTTGGTAACGGGAGAAGTTACAGAGCTGAAATCTTGAAGTTTGGTACTAATTTGGTACTGAAGTTTGATACTAATTTTAGACCACTGTTGGTGTCTGGTATGGAGAGGTAAGGATTAGTTTCGTTAGCGGGTTAGAGCTGAAATTTGTTATGCGGTTGCTGTTGATTTCTTGAGCTTACATATAGAGACGTTTTGGACGTCTGCAGTAGTTTTACTAATAGTTTCCTCGGTCAACTTCAAAATTAAATAATTTGAAGATATTTGTTGTAAAAAATAAAAGTGTTTCTATCATTCTTTCCAAAATGGGAAAAATTTGAATAATATAGAAAATCTTGAAAGTCTGAAAATTGAGTACGATGTAGGAAGGTATTATTTTATTATTATACAAAATTTTGCCAAAAAAGAAAAACTTATGCGTTTTGAGAGCTAACAAGTAAAAAAGCAGCTAATTTCGGCCGGGGCGAAATTTTAATGTCCTCCACCATTGTGAAGAATCTTGAAAAATTAAAAAAAAAAAAATCCGTCGAAAAACACCTTTTAAATGGGAACCATTAATTGAGCGCTATACGAAGACGTGGATCTTCATAGTTAAGTTTTTGTCATAGGATATGTGGATATGGATATGTGAAACAATTTCTCTGAATAATGTCGCCAATATTATAAAAATTTGACACAATTCCGATGAATAATATTGCTAAATCGTCAAAATACGAAATAGAGGAAGGTAATGTTTTATGTGGGCAATACAAAGACGTGAACCTGCATAGACAACTTTTTCGACATATGAGCCTCAAACTATGAATACGAAATTTTAAATAATTTCGTTCAAAAATTTTGCTAATATCATGAAAATACCGAAAATCGGGAGGTAGGGAGGTACCGTTAGATGGGAGATATACTATATTGTGAACCCATATAGACAATACTCTTCCAGGGGCTGAAGTACTCAGAAGGAAATAATGGTGTGGATTTTCAGACAATGCCATTGAAAAAATTGGCTGCAAGCATTAAAAAACCGAATATAGGGACATAACGTTATATGGGGGATATATGATATCGTGGACCTATAAAGACAATTTTCTTCTAGGAAGTAGAGTACTTAGAAGGAATTGTCGGATTTTGAGACAATTCCGTTGAAAAATGTAGCTAAAATCATCAAAATACCGAATATCGGGAGCTACCGTTATATGGGGGATATTCGATAACGTGGACCTCTATAGACAATTCTCTTCCAGGGAGTAAAGTATCCGCAAAGTCTTCCAGACTATTCCATTGAAAAATGTGCTTAAAATCATCAAAATATCGAATATCGGGGGTATCGTTATATGGGGGCCATTAGATTTCGTAAACCGATATAGCCAATCTTCGAACTTGACTTGCCTGCACACAAAAGACTGATCTGTGCAAAATTTTAGCTTCGTTTCGTTTTTCGTTTTCGTTTTCGTTTTGAATTTAGCGTAATTACCACAGACGGACGGACGAAAGGGCTATATGCTTGTGTGTTATATTTGAAGAAGATCGGCTTTTATTTCACACTTTATAAGAGTAACAATTTTTCCATATTTTGACCCCTTGTAGGTCAGGTACTTGAAGGAGTGGGCGAATGACTTCAATTTTCAATCCTTAACAAGTACTGACAAAAATATTGGGATTTGCTTAGTTTGCACAAAATCTAATGATGCTTTTTCTTTCTTTGAGGTAGTATATCCTTTGAAAAATTTGACTATTAATTGGGGAGGTACCAGAAATTGTGGTCGGATGTTGCCCATCTCCGAACTCGATCTAAGTTTGACAATTATATTACGATGTACCAAGTTTGGGCCAAATTGAATACTCCCTTCGAGAGTGATCGTGCGTTTCAAATGATGATATACCCTCTGTAGCCATATGGCTGTGGGTATAACTAGTTATAGCTGGAAATGGCTAATTTTATTTCTAATATTTTTATTAGCCACAGATGTGTTATCGATTGCTTTGTACTTGAGTATAAATACCAATGTTTTATGTGGCACAATCTAGATTTAACTCGTATCATAAAATCTGTCTGTATATCTGGGGTAATAAAGATATTCGGAAATCCTATCAAATATTTTAATTATCTCTTTAAAATGTTACGTTTTGTCTGTTTATTTTTGCTTCGTACATGTGAGAAGGTCATAATTTATTAGACACGCCAGTTTTATCTTTTATTTAAATTTATATAGAATGACATGCATAATTTTATTTTCTTCACAATTTAAATCGAACTCACCAAAACATCATTGTGGACAAAGGATTTGAGGATTCGCGCGGATTCTCCGGCAGTTCGTCGGATTTAAAGGATTGCATTTTGAAAAAGGTTTTGTATTATTTTCTTATTCTTTATATAATATATTTTCTTTTTTTTTTAGATCACGTTTGTTCTACATTCATAGATAGCTACTCCAACACTACCACTCTCACAACTTGCCGTTGGAGTCGGGTTTATTGTTTTCTCTAAACACTTTCACAATTGGGCACTTTTTTCTGGGCGATCTTTTGCCTAAGTTTCGTTTTTCTCTACAATTAACAAACTTAACCGATTCACTTCCCTAGCCTAACTGAGTTGGGACACTACCAAAAAATAGCAAACCGCCTCGGATTATAAAACTTGTAGTTATCTCAAATGATAACTCCCCTCCCGTTCCGAATTCCCGCCATAGATGATAACAAAAATTTCACAAGGTGTGCAATAACGCGTACTATGTTCGCTGATTACCGAGCGAGCGAGTGAGCGTCCGAGCGGTTCTATCGATTACCCATATGGAAATTATTTGATTGTTTACTTTTGACGCGCGCGCTGCCTCTTATCTGTAGCTGATTTGGCTTAGTGTTACTTTTGTTGTTGGTGTCTTTGTTGTTGTTGTTGTTTTTAATGATTCAGAATGACTAGGCTAAAAATGTGCTAGTCAGGTTGAGAAGGCGTTGTTAGGCTTTATAACTTGTGAACATGAATACTAATGATATGAGACATATTTTCACTAAGGTATATAATGGATTTTAAAAATAAACAAATAGTTGTTCTCTGCTTGGGGCTAACAGAGAGAGAGAGGGAGAGAGAGAGAGAGAAAGAGAGCAGCTTTGATCAAAGCTCAAAGTTTTAAAATTAAAATTCACACATCGGATTTGATTATTGTTTTTGTTTATAATTTGCTGAAGATCATGTGTCTGGAATGTCAATTATTAGTTTATTAATTATAATTAAATTTAATTCTATAAACAAAAAAAAATTATAATAAAAAAATTAAAATAACTTTTTGTTATCTACAACAAAATATGGAGGGTACATTAAACATGTCATTCGTCACTGCTCGAACTAAGCATTTGAGACCCCTAAAAGTGTATACAGGGTGAGATAAAAAAAACTGCAACAAAGTCAAACGCCATAATTTTTATACCCTACACCACAAGGTGGTCAGGGTATTATGTCTTTGTGCATTTGTTTGTAACATGGAGAAGGAAGCGAGATAGATCCATGGTTACTTTTGAGGATCTCCATAGAATCACTTTTTGAGTTGATTTATACATGTCAGTCCGTCTGTGCATGTATTCTTGTGAACAAAATGCAGGTGGCATTTATTATCCGATTGAGATGAAATTTTCCAAACAATATTTGTTTGGCCAAAGGATGAACCTTATTGAAATAAGAGATAATCGGTAAAAATTTAGATATTGCTCCCATATATATCTTCGTCCGATTTGCCTTTTATTGTGCACCAAACGTGTGTCAGTTCGAATAGTATGCAATTTGGCACATACAACCAAATTAGGCCTGAACATAAGTATGCCAAATTTGATCGGAATCGGTTCAGATATAGCTATATATTGTTCGTCCGATTTGTTATTTTTGTCCTCCGCAGCCTTAATTTGCACTCTGTAACAACAATATTTGGGGAAATATATCAAATGCAGCTCAGAAATACCTTTTCTAAATGTTATCGAGATCGGTTCAGATTTGGATATGGCTCCCATATATAACTTCGTCCGATCTACATTTATTGTGCACCAAACGTCTAATATTTTCCCAAATAGGATGGAATTTGGCACATACGACCGAATTGAATCTAGAAGGTAGTATTCCAAATTTGGTGAAGATTGGTTCACATATAGCTATAGCTCCCATATATATTGTTCATCCGATTTGTTATTTTTGTCCTCCGCAGCCGTAATATGCACTCTGTAACAAAGATATTCAGGGAAATATATCAAATACAGCTCAGATATACCTTTGCTAAATTTTATCGAGATCGGATCAGATTTGGATATAGCTCAAATATATATCTATATCTGATTTCAAATTAATTTTGCACCAAATGGGTAATACAAGTCCGAATTTAAAAGATACAAATGCTTCGGCATATTCATCTTTAACTTATAATTATAATTGTATGATTGAATTCTTCCATGAATCCTTTTAATTGTTATGCGGAGCTCTACTAAATTAGCAAAGTGGTGTAGGGTATCATAAAGTCGGCCCTCCCGACTTTAGGACATTCTTTACTGTTTTTTTTTTATTGTATGAACGCCAAAAATTGAACCAAATTTTAGAATAAGTTTAGATTTGTTCAAATTGGTCACTATTGGCAGGAATTATGGCTTTTAAACGGCCAATGAAACCGTCACACGTTGCCCGAACGTTGCTCTGCGGTATTTTGGCCTATTCCAGGCCAAGCGCTTGCTTGAGATGATCAACACTTAGGTATTTTTTAGTGCCTACCTTGTTTTCGATTGCTGAGTGCGATGGTGGTGAGTCCTGTTGGAATGTCCAAGGCCTGCGGACAAAATGCTTGCATGCCCTAGGCTTTAATACACCTTCCAGAATAATATTCGGCATTTATTCTGATGCCACGCCCGAGCGGAGAGTGCCCATCGGCAATTATGGTGTCCCACACCATCACCATGGCCGGCGCTTGAGTTCCGAAGGTACACGTGTTAAGCTGACCTCTTTGGCGAGTAAATACGATCATTTTGTTTGTTTACAATCTGCTGGACAGCGAATGTTTTCTCATCGGAGGAAACCAAATTCGGCTGGTCACCACTTTCGGCCAAGCGAAGCAACTCTTTAGCTCTTTTGAGTCTATTTTCCTTCTGTTGCAGTGTAAGTTCTTGCACTTTTTGGAATTTCAATGGCTTTACTCCAAACTCATTTTTCAATATTTGCCGAATGGAATATTGCGATATGTTCAGCTTACAAGTCATTTTTCAGGCACTGCGACTCGGGATTGAATCAAGTCGCTATTTTACTTTTCGAACCATTTCTACTGATATTGCTGTTTTCTTCCATCCAATTCCTTGACATATGTCGGGCTACGCTACCAGTATCACGGTAACGAGCGATGACACAAAAGAATTATTCACATTTAAATGCTGGAGTGCTCTAACGATAGCCACTTGTGGGTTTCCAGCCAAATATAAAGAAATTACGTTATCACGCTTGAATTCCATCACGAATAACTTTTTTCTGGAAAATTCTCACCAAAATGCTTTCGCACACTTGTATACAATATAATAACTGGAATAATTTTAAGAGCCGTCAGATAAGTGGTTTAGAAATCATCTCACCCTGTATGTTCTTGATCAGTAAAAAATTCTATATAGTTTTAGCATTTTTCGACAGCTTATCGGTTCGTCTGTGAAAGACACTCTAGTACCTGAACGAAATAAAGTAGGTTGCTAAAATCTTATTATGTAGCAAGCAACAAAACGCCTAATTTCGGCCACAATTTGGAAGGAATACGAAAATTAAAAAAAGTTCTTAGAAAAATAGCATTTAAATAAAAACGTAAGACGAGGAGCTGCATAAGTAATTTTTTGACATAAGCTGTACAACCGACTTTGACCTTCAAACACGACATTTAAACAAGTTAAGAAGCAGTAAGTTCGGCCGAGACGAACTTTGAATACCCTCCACCATTTGGAACGAATTTGAAAAATTTCAAAAAATAAAATCCTTAAAAAATTCTGTTAAAATATTAAAAGTACCGAATACAGCCATTATATTGGGGTCCATATGATGTGGACCTACATAGGCTTTGTTTGTCAAAAGCCATAATAACATTCATAGGCTGTAGCATCCATTACGAACTTCAAATACGACATCCCAAACAATTTCGGTGCGTATTGCACCTAAACTCGTCAAAATATTGAATATAGGGCGGAACTGACATATGGGGCCTATACGAAGACATAAATTAACTTCCGATTTCATTCAGACTTGATACAATATTTTCATCAATACAAGATCTGTTATAAAGATGGTAGAGATCGCACCACTCCTTCCGTTACCTCCACCACAAATGGTCAATGTGTTGATAACCAAAATCCAAACTAAGCTCTGCTGAGTAGATGGAATGGAATATCGGTGCACTCCTTCTGGTCCTCCCACACAAAAGGGTGTGGGAAGGAAGTTGTGTTAGTTAGGAAGTTGTGTTAGTTACTACGCTTATAACTTAAGAACCGATGGACTGATTTTAACGATTCATACAAATTTGGAATTGTCTCCTGTCCGAAAAGGATAATATCCAAAAAAAAAAATCGCGTAAAAATGTGATATGTTAACAATTTCAATTTGATATATTAACAATTTTATTTTGCATGATTTTTTTCATTTTGACTTACATTTTTCTAATGTATATTTGTGGTGTTTTTATACCCTACAACACTATGTGTTGGGGGTATTATAAGTTTGATTGGGCCAGAATTTATGTGAAACCTCGAAATATTGGTTTCCCATATAGGAAAGTATATATGGAACTTCCTTTCTCGCCGAGCTGAGTCAATCTAGCTATGTATGTCCGTCCGTCCGTCTGTCCGTCTGTCCATGTTAATTTGTAATCACGCTACAGGTCGCAATTATGGCCCGATCCTAACGAAATTTTGCACGAAAGTGGGTTTAGGGGTTGAAATGGACCAAATACTGACAAAATTTCGGATTTTGCAGTAGCTATACAGTTCGCAATTATAGACCAATCAACGGAATTTCGCATGTAGCTAGAGTTTAGGGCTGGGAAGAAGCCTACCACTTTGGGTGGTCATCGGATAATGTTTAGCGGGTAAAATAGACCATATCTTTTGTGTTGAAAAAAATCAAAATTTTTCATTAAACCGCGAATTTTTTAAATTCCGGCGAAATCACAAAGCCATGTCAAGGTTACTTCGGATCTTTACATTGATGTTAACATCCAACAAATCGGATATATAGCAAAATGTGTGCGATATATATGTCTATCAAAGAAGATATACTTGAAAGATCTCTTATATGTCGAGAACGGCTGAACTGATTTCGACAGTTCTCATTAATTCAGAATGGCCTCTTGGCAGGAAAGAAAAAACGTCTAAAAAAATCGCATAAAAATATCTCTCTAACGATGAAAATATTGATTTTGTAAAATTTTCTCATATATTTTCAATTTTGTCATATTTTTTTGGCATATTTTCATTTTGAATTAAACATTTGGTAATATTTCTACAGCTAACAAAACTAAGTAGTTAGGATATCAGGATATCATATACAGATCTCATTTATGGCCCGATCCTTACGAAATTTTGCATGGGGATAAGATGAGGGTCAGAATAGAAGCCTACTCTTTTTGGAGATGATCGCCATATATTTAGGGGTTGAAATGGACCAAAAAACTGCAAAATTGTCGGCAGGTCGTAATTATCGCCCGATCCTCACGCACAGCTTTTGTAGACAAAATACGAAAATGTCCATTCCAGTGACTTTTTGGAGAATTCACAAATACAGGAAAGACGCACTTCTGACTATTTCGTTAACGCTGATTTCGTTGAAGAATATAGTCTAATGTCTGTATCTCATATAGATGCGTTTCAGTCAAAAACCAATAATAAATGTTAATCTTTTGCCACTTCTGAGAGATTATAGGTCTTTGGGAAATATTGGTTCCAGATCTAGGAAGACTATTTACGTGCAACATCTACCAATAAATTG